CTCAGTTTCTTAACATCTGATTTCCTGTTTGGAAGTTTGAATGGATAAGAGGAAAAAAAATACTCAATTCTTTGAATCTGAATTTAAAAGGTATTCCTAAAAATTAGCAACATTAGCATTGCTTGAAATATTGGCAACTTATTTCACAATCACTTTATGATTTCAAGCTGATACTAAAAATACATGAATATGCCAAAATAACACTCATAAAAGTAGTGTTTAACTTCGGGGACCAGATAAGCTCTTTTATCAGGATTTTTGCTGCCTTCAGAACAAGTCATCCATATTTATTTTGGTGCATATGCAGACAGTACTTCTCATTTCACTTCAAAATCCAATACAACTCATACACCTTTCCTGCTCTTGTTCTAAATCTTGCACAGGCAAGTACTAAGAAACCAATCCTCCACCCTAGGCAACAGCCAGCTCTGTCATCTAATGGGTCTTACAAATTGTCTTACAAAGACAAAATGTCTTACAAATTGTCTTACAAAGACAACTTCTTCCAAAAGCCAATGGTTAGAATGTACTCAATGGAAAAGAGCAATCTATCGATCCAGCCATCCACCAACCTGTGTATATTTCAATAGTTTCTACCAACAGCTGGTGTAAATCATTTCAATACTGGCTGTACTTGAAGTTATATTTGTGCTTATGGCACAAATATAGCTGCAGAAACCAGTGGAAAAACTGATTCAAGAGTCTGCATATAGCCAGCATTGTCTAGAGAATATTTTTGTTCCTTTCTAACTGCATTTATCAAAGCGTGAACTGGCGAGCTCAGGGAAGCACTGAGTTACACAAAACCTTCCACCTCTGGGCCACAGGTTCAAATGTGGACAGGTCATTGGTGACTGAAAGTCATTGCCATCTGATGGCTGTCTGGTGACTTAAACAGAACATGGTTAGTGGGCTTATCCAGATTCACTGGGCACATGCCCATATCGCAGAACACACCACTACAATTTGTTCTCTTCTTGGCAGCTGTAGCTGAGAAACCAAGGAATAAATGGGCATATCTCCTCCTCCCCCAAACCATCATTTTCATTCAACTGGCAGGGTATTACAAAGGAACTTGCACTTGGAATCAGCAAGCACAGGGAATACACAGCCGTTTTACTCACTGTAGAATTCATAAATTACAATATATAAGCAGTAATCCATGCCAGTTGCAAATTGCTCTTTGTTCCTCTGCTGTGATGAGCATGGAACAAGCAGTGCACAGGTATAGCAGAGGTTTCTTCGTGGTGTTTGCACACATGCTGTAGGGTGTGTTTAAAGATACAGCCCCAGAAATCAGTTGAAGCCTTCTTCAGTCACCAGCTAAAGCTGAGTATACATTACACATTTTACATTTTACCTAGATGGAGTTCCTTATGTATGTTTTTATAGAAAGGACTCTATCGGTATATAAAGAATCTCACTGGCTGACAATAATTTGGCTACTCCATAAAACTACAAACTAAGTTATTGCATTTTTAAAGGAAATATTATTTTTAATGAATCATCTAGCAATTAACTCATGGAAAGCCTATCGATTTTTGCTACTCAGTTCTAACTTGCTAAGCTCGTAATATTCACTGAATTATAAAGAGGAAAAAAAATTGCATTCTAATCAGATTTTGAAAACACAAATTAAGTTGCTCTTTGACTACATGGAAACTTGGAAACTGTTCTCTGAAATGTTTCCCTGGCTGTACTGAAAATTTGGTATCGTGATCATACGATTGCAAGTAATTAAATAGCCAATAACACTTACAGGCCACATTTTAAAAGAATTCTAAAAGTGGCTAGTTATCCAAATACATTAAAAGTTGGCTTTAAATCACATCAGAATTTCATGGGCAATGACTGAGAAATCTAAGCAGCCTTACGTTCACTTCAGATCTCATTTTTCCTGTAATAACTGTACCCATTTAGATCCTAATTCATGTTAAGTAGGTGAATCTATTTTTTTTTTCAGACCAATAATTAATTAATTAGTTAACAAACTCAGTTAATGACACTTTCAGCTTTGGAAAATAATACTGCACAGTACTATCTGACTTATCACAAAACTCATCTACCAGAGCTAATCGGAGGTGTAATTCATCTAAGGATCTGTCCCAGAATCATTTTATTTCTTTTAATTGGCAGTAGTAGCACGAGTGCATTCATTTAATTCATTTATTTCTTCATTCATCTCAGTGAACACTGGATTTTATCCTTTAGTGCACAAAAAATAAATCGCCACAGAGATTTTTATTGCACTTACTGATTTAGAAGGATTTGCTGTACTACTTAATGTTTGACTTGCTGGGGAAGATGTGGAATATTTAGCAGTCACCTGTCTGTTATTCATTTAGCTAGGTGCTCTATGAGCTTTGCACTTTTAATAATCCTTTTCAGGAGACTTAATTTTCACCTTCATCTGGCAGCTCCCTATTCTTCTGCACTTTGCCGACAAGTAAACCAAGAATCTCTGTACTCATTTTACAAGCATCCCATGAAGTTTACTTCTGAACACAACAGCCAAGGCCAGATATGAACTGCTTTTCCCTGTGATGAAAGTCCAGAGTCTGATCAAATGAACCATCTAGGCCCTAAGTTGGCTTTACAAAAACAGATTTAATCTCTTCATTGTCTGACTTCACGGCATGGTATTGCTGCCCTTAAATGAAACATACATAAAAATGGTTAGTACAGCTGGTCAGAAAATGTGCTTGAAGTTTAGAATCACAATATCATTGTTTATACAGATGACTATTTGGGATAGACTTCAATAGAATTTGACTTTACTAGCAAAGGAGAAGGCTTTGGCAATATCATAGGGTGATCAGCAACAGCAACTCATATTTTCCAACTGAGATCAATGTGGCCTTTAATCCATTAATGCAAACCTAAATATCATCCGACAGATATGAACAGAAGACAGTGAAAATGTGAGGAAGAAAAGTCTAGAGTAGTCAGATTTAAGAGACTTGTTTCATATTCCAATTCATTTTAGTACTCTACAGGAAAGCAGCCTGTTTCTACAATTTCAATTAGCATACCATAGATATGGACTGAAAATGCTTCTTTTCTGCTAACACAGATGCTTTTTTGTTCACCTATTTTGAGCCTCTGTTCAGAGAATTGGATTTTTACAAAATCCTTGGAAGCATGTTAGCAATGCATCCCTGTGAAATGTCAAGAAAGGGGTTTGTTTGGAATGGAAAGTTGCTGACAATCACTCCAAGCCATTTGGATGCCAATTTACATATTTCAATACTAATGCCAGACTGGGCGAAGGGGAGAAGAAAACCCCAAAACAACAAAATCACAACCCAAACTGAGAAAGCTCCCAGCCCCGCGCGTATTAAATCAAACTAAAAATAAAGATGACGGCAGTATCTGCGAGCAATTTGGGTGGTCAGAAAACAATGGTGCCCTCTGGTTTGAGAACAGTGTTTAGTGTTTGCACTGTTCTTACTTGTCACAATAAATTTGGACAGGGTTCCTGTTTCCTGAATTGACCGAAGCTTTTCATTCTTTAAATTTCTAATGTGTTATGTCACATCTTATTGTATTTCATGGTGTCACATTGCATTATTTTGCATCATTGTCTCTGAAGTTGATGAAACACAACACAACAGCACATGACAAAAAGAATAAGCTGCTGGTTGTACAGAGTAAGTATTGTAATTCAATATCTGTTAGATGCAGTAATAGTTAGATGCAGATATCTTGAACTTTTAATAGTTGTAACACTTCAATCAGATAGTTAGAAACCTGCTCAAATTACTGGTTTATTGGAAAGTGAGGCCCTTCTCCTGGGAAGCACAAGGTTGTCATTATTTACTTGGTATCAGAGTATGCTGCTGCTGCTTTTCAACCTCTGTATTGTTAATTTGTAATGATTAGAATGAGATTTGAGACATACTAGGTAGAGCATTTCTCAGAACGCAATAATGAGAATATCCATTTGAGACAGCATTAAAGGCACAATATGACTGTTTTGATTTTACAGCACAAATACAGTACATAACCTTGGGACTATTTCCATTCATTATGATTAAGCCATGTCATTCAACAGAGAGAAAACTGAGTTCTAACCCCCCTCCTCCTCCTCCCCACATTGTTCTTGTTGAAAGCAATGACATAAAACTGCAGATTTATAACCTAACAATTGTGGTCTGCTTAAGAAAAGAGAATATTTATATTTTGAGGGAAAAAAAAAGAGTTTTTTGTTATAAAATATCAAAGTTTGTAGTCCACACAAAACAAACAAACAGACAATCCTATCATTATTGCAAGTGCAATTCTTGTCTGAGAAGAAACAGATGAACATAAGAATTTAGTAGCAATCATGATGGGCCATCATGACAATTGTTTGGTAGTGAAGAAACATGAAAAGTTTGTAGAAATATACTGAATGGAAAGAAAAAAATATTAAAAATAAATCAGTCTGTCTTTCAGTGAATTTGTTTTTACTTCTGGATGTATTTTCTGAGTGGATGTCACTCAAGGTGTTTGTGTATTACCTAATTATTAATTAAAATTTTTGCTGTTATATAACACATTTGTTATAAAGAAACATGGCAGTTTTATTTCTTTTTCATCCCATTGTTCTGGTCATTGCTGCTTGAGAAGAGAATAGACAAACTAAATATATTGTGTAGCATTGGTATTGTATCAAGGGGATAATGTTATAAAATATATCCACAAGTACAATGAAAAATTTGCTAGAAATTATAGTAAACCAAGGAAGGGTCTATAGAACAAGACTGCCTGAAAAACAGGGCACAGACCTGACCAGAAGTTCAAGAACATGCCAGCGCATGAATTATATGGCATGAGCCCAGCTAAAAAATCTTTCCAGTTCTGTGTTTACTCCCATACTCCTATACTGATGGCTCTGGTGTCTGAAACCTCCTGTACACTTCTTGTCCAAATATATTCATAGCCAATTTATGCCCATTTGTTCTCATGTCAAAATTATCGTTTAATTTCATGAGCTTTTGTTTCTCCCATGGGTTTACCTCATAATATATTTATAGATAGCAACTGTGTCCTCTCTCAACCTCTGTTTTACTGGGCCCAGCTTCTTTCCAGACAGTCAGCCTTTCCTCTGATCACCACATTACTCACTCTTTGCACCTGTTTTAAAAAATGAAACAAAAAAATATGTATTTGTACTGCAGACACAGATAATCAGAATTCAAGGTGATGTCTAACAAGCATCTTGATCAATGGTGTGAATACTCCATTTGCTCCATTAAAAATATATTCCTCGATATATCTTTAAATTGCATTTTCCCTTTCTGTGGTCTAAGTGCACTGTTAGTTCATAGTAATTCTATGATTGACTGTTAGAACTAGGTGGTTTTCCTCTGTCATTTCCCACTGATGAGTCTACAAGTTCATAGCAGATACTTTTCATTAGTCTCGAAGTGCATGACCTTGCAGAGCATGACCTTAAATTCCATCCCATTTCTATTACCCCAGACTTCAAGGTCATTTAATTCTTCCTGTATAATATTCCAATCCTCCTCTGTATTCGTGACATCTCCCAGTTTTGTATCATCAGCAAATTAATTAGTACACTCCTACTTCTTCTGCCTAGGTCATTAAGGAAAATATTAAATAAAATTAATCCCCAGACCAATCCTAAAGGAACTCCACTAGTAACTTTTCTCCAGAGAGAGAAAAAAATCCTTTCAACTTAACTCACTCTCATCTCCTTTTCAGACACTTCCTTACTTATATTGCAGTCCTGATACTTGTCCTTATCTTTTCTAATTTAACTAATAATTCCCCATGTAGTAATGTACCCAACACTTGACTAAAAAACAGGTTGAAACTAACACATTTGCATTATCTCAAAAATCAAGATGTCATTAAAATAAAAGAGTAAGACAACAAGTTTATCTTCATGATTTTTTAAAAATAAATTCATGTTCCACTCAATCTCATTTTTCCCATTTTGAGTTTTTTTTTTTAAATTATTCTTAAAGTCTTCATTTAATTTTTTGAGTCACGCCTAGATTATCCTTAATTTCTACTCTATCCTCAATGCACAGTGATTCTCTTGTGCATTTCCCTCCCAATATGACTGAAAAAGCTTCTGCCATCAGTTTAATTTGGTTTGCTATGCCTCATTCTGCTTTGACTTTTTCCAGTTCTCTGAATTGTTAATCCTTATGAAGTACCAATGTGTACCTTTTTATTGCTGGCCTTCTTCCCCCTACCACAATTCCTTACTGAGCTTTTCTTATTTCTTGTAAAATGTCTGAGGCAGTAATTTACCTGAGACATAAGATATACAGTCCCACACATTAGTCCTCCTGGCTGGAGGTACATCACCGTGTTGGTTTAGTAATTGCCTGATAAAGATGTTATTTGAGTGAGAAGTAACTGGGCTTCCTGTTAGTGACATTCATTTTCTTGTCTAGGCGAGGCAAAGTCTCTCACAAAAGGGAAACAGATATTAGGTTTTAACATACATTGTAGGGACTCCTCTGCCTACTTAATTGCAGCGTCGGTGCTCCTTACCAGTTTTCCAACAGGGACTCCTCTGCCATCCTTGTGATACCAAATCATTCATTTTCACCCACACACTTGTTGCATATTGCTAGCCATTATACCCTTTCTTTCTCCTAGCTTTCACACAGTAACACTCCAAAGCCTGAGTGCCAAAAATGGCAAAGGGACTGTCAGCAGGCAAGGCTGCTGCAGTGGCAGTATTTTTGGTGCAGCAGTATGACCTGTTAGGGAGGGAAGTCAAGCTTCAATGCTGTGGGGATTCAAACACTATCACAAGGATATCAGTTACGTCTTTGACTCATCTTGCCCATGCTCAGGCTAGGCAAAATAAGAAAAAAATTATACGCTCTATATAAAAATACACAAAAGAAATATGAAAAAGACTTTTCTTTTTCCAAATAGAGTTATGCATATGTATAGAACATATTCTCCATTAGCAGAAGATATATTGAGATAATATGTATAATTAAGTTTATAATATAAAATAATATATAAAAAGTAATTGCATAAATACATAAATGCATGCACAATGTCTGCAAATTCAAAACATTTTTACTGAACCAACCAGAAACAGGAGCTATTACATCAACATCGAGTACTGCTGGTCATTAAAATCCATGAAGATTTTGGCTTTTTGAATTTTTTTTTTTTCTTTTCCCCTCTCTCCCCACAGTAGCATAATCCTTATCTTCTTAATTAATTTCTGCAATTTGAATACAGTATGCACTCATACATTGATAGCTTCCTTTATATAGCTGCTGTCCTGAATGGTTGTATAAGATTTCTTTCACTGATGAAAAGCCCTCATCTTCCAATGGTATCTCTAACTCACTGATGATTCTATGCTTGTATACAGTCAGAACTATCAGTTTAAATCATACAACGTTATGTTCTGTTTCAAAATTAATATAGCCAAATATGAGCCAATGAAATTTTTTGAGGGGAGACTCCTGAAGGGCTCTTATCTTTCTCTAAGCACATGATCTTTTTAATATTATTCTTGGCTTTCATCTGTGCATATGTGGAAGGAAAGACCCTGCACACTTACTGCAGGTTCTTAAGTGCACTACAGATCAAGGGGAGAGATCAAGCCCAGAAGCTGTCGTGCTGGCTAAGCCAAATTTTCCATAGCTCTGTTTCTTGGCTCCAGCACTGGTGATTGGTAGAGGAAAGCAGAGACAGTGATGTGCAGAAAGATTTTTTTCTGCACTTCCTCCTCCCATGCTCTGGTTATTACTGACTTAGAAACTTAGTAAACTCCATGTTGCCTCCTGCTCATCTAAGTTGTACAGTTTCTTGGAGAACTGAAATCCACAAACGATAGCATTTTGTCCATTTTAAACCTAAAAGGCTCCTTTGGTTTGGGTGCTCTGCATCTCGCACTGTGAGTGACTGTTCCCAGTTCACATTCTGGTATTATTCATGTTTTTGTAGTTTTGTCCCCTATCTCTCTTCTGACATGGAATTTGCAAGGTTAAGAGTCTTCGACTACCTAAACTCATTCTTTCTGTCTTCCTTGAAATCTTTTCCCAGTTTTCCTGTATGTTCTTGGAGATGGAGCAATCAATACCAGACACAGTGCCCTTAACGTTGCCGTTACACTGAAGGTTTATGCAGAAGCAGAGTCTTTTGGATTTCTTCCCCTTTTTCTCTTTGCTAATAATGCTTACTAATTTGCAATTTTGACCAGTACTGATGTTTTCAGAGAATCATTTGTATAGACTCCAAACATTTTGGAAGACATTTTTTTCATAGGGTTATTTTTCTCTGTACCGGGATACATTACTGAGCATTAAAGATGAGGTTCAGTTTTCAGTTTCAGGCACTTAAAGTTGCATCAGAGTAAACATAATGCCTTACCTCTGCTAGTCTCACATGGATATATCAAATTCTTGTATGGATATGCCAGAGAGTCCCTAAAATGACTCTAGATACCTATCTGCAAGTAACAGAAACATATCCTGAATGTCCTATATCATCACTTTGTCACCAAAATCCTATCCAATCTTTAACAGCCTCCCATAGATCTATTAATATTGAATACTTTTATACCATCTGCAAACAGTGACACCATCTGAATCATCCTCCACCCTTTATAAAATGTATTTATGAATACACAGACTGTATTCTCTATGATTCCATTAGCAACCTCTTCTTTGTGAAAATAGTTACTTTTTTCCTACCCCTGTCTCCTACTTTTGTTCAGGCATTAACACAACTCATTTTCTTTTATTTACTTATTAAGAACTTAATCACTTAAAGACCTTTTGAGAGAGGGATACTTTATATGGCTTTTTGGAAATGCAGATGTAGTACCCTGATCACACAATCTTAACTTATGTTGTTCTTTGAGTTCCTAGAAAATTGTATTTATTCTCATCAAAACTGCATTAATACTTACTTACTTGGTACCAAAGACAAAATTCTGCAATTTCACATTTGAGTTCCACCTGGAGATGTATCATCTGCTCCTCACAATTAGATCCTGTTGATTTTCTCCTCTTTGTTCCGAAATCTCTTCCATGGACTTTCCAGTTGAAAATAGCTTCTTATATTCACATCTTGCAAGACCGAACCTGGAAGAAAAGGATATCCTGATATTGTTAATACTAAATACTGATCTAAGACTTTAACTTTTCCGCTGTGAATTTACGCTACTTCAATGCTCCATTTATATTTTCAGCATCGAACGCCAGAAATTCCATTCAGGACATTCAGCAAACTCTGTTGCACCCCTTGTACAGATACTGAAGATGAAGAAAAACATCAACTGGGTTTAACACGCCTGCCCAATACAACATGCAGGTCACAATCCTCCAGATTGGTATTTCTTCTGTACAAACCACTCCCAGCACACACCTAGTGTTCGTACTGAAATGTAATTCAAGAAAAATGAAATCAAACCAGATATGTGGATAACAAAGAAACATTTTTTATTGATGGAGAAACCTACTCAGTCTTATAATATAAGACAGAAGTAGATAATAATATTCAGTATGTTACCAACTTCATTGTCTTTGATCTAACCCTCTTGTAAAAGATCTTTTTTCCTCCCTCGTGTAGTGCTATCATTTTTACATACATTCAGTGCCAGTCATCCACTGTCTGTATCACAAATTAAAAAAAAGTAAGTACACATTTCTGCTCTTCAGAAGGATGTAAAATGCCTATTAATTATATATCAGCCATATGTTTTCAACTGTAGACATAGAGTTAAAAAGGAGTTTTGTGATAGACGTATCATTTACCGAACTGAATGGATATTTAAATCCCAGTTGTCTGAAGAAGGGGGAATTGAGTGTCTAGTGTCTGTCTGTAATATCTCATTGAAATGAACAATACTGTGCACTTACAGAAGAAGAAAGAAAATTGCTTGGACAGGTAATATGAATTCCAGACGCATTAGAGATTGCTTTGCTTTGCCATTTCTGAAGTGTCAAATTTTTAAATCAGTGTTATTCACTTCTAATTAATAATACCAATAGTCTAAACCTAATTTTTCCTATAATTGCTTTTTCATGTGCCTTTTCCATATGTTAATACCCTAAGTCAGTATGCAGGCTTGAGAGGCCTACAACCTCATGTTTATAGTTCAGCAGCACTTATAGCTCAGCAAGGACCTTAAGCTGTGCTTTTCAAGTTTTATTAAAAACTAGTTCCTGTTCCATACTGATTTTCCTGCTGTGCATACAAGAACGCCAAAAGCATTTTGGGGGATATTAACAAATTTCAACAGCACAAAACCAATCCTACATTTTGGAGATAATTAGACCTTCTGAAATAATTTTGAACAGGCAGTTTCCTTTGTGATCTGTGAGTAATTCACTTTTATGGACACATATCCCTTCTTAGAGCTGGCTAGGGTAATTTACACCTTACAAGGCTTGTAGACATAGTTGGCCACTTATCCAATGCTAATAAATTGAAAATGTGCGTTTATGATTTAACAGAGAAAGGAAGATGTGAATGAAACGCAGGTAATTGCTGAATTACAGTTCTGCTTGTGGCAGCTAAAGAATACATGAATAGAGCTATCTGGAAGACACAAGATACCTTGCATCAACTTTCAAAATGTTGATTTTTCTTCTAACTGTTTGAAAACGACCATATGACTATTTTTAAGAGAACGCTTAGAGTCAAAATGTTTATTTCCAGGCAAAATGATTCTACACGTTCAAGCTTGATCTTGTATGTGGGATGGGGATGCCAGACTATATTCTTCTCTTTTTCTGTATCCATACTGAAAATTGAAGAAATAAATGAGCCAAACTGTACAAATGGCAGATTCTGTTGCAAAATATTTCACTTTCAAGAAAGACTGCTTCTTTGTTCAAAGTATTTCTGCAAAATATTTCTACAAGTCTCTTCATCTTGCTGGTCACTGGCTAAATTCCAGTGCCTAACTTCACAGAAAGTTACTTCTAGATTTGATACTCTATTTTTGGGAGTGAACCTCTGCAGGTTCACAAAGAGCTTCAGTTTTGAAGAGCTCTCTACTTCAAAAGAAGAAACCTTCTCTTTTTTTAACAGGGTCTCATTCCGGTCTCTGCCAGCATCGGGTGTTTTGCCAAGTTTGTTATAAAATCTATGGGAAAAAATAAGCCTGAGAGCTATTAACAGAGGTGGAAGTTTGCGAGAGAAAAGGAAACACAGTTGAAGATTGTACAAGTGCTGTAATGTAGCACATAGGTGATGCAGCAAAGAGCTTTCTCATCTTCTGTGTGCAGTTTTTCTTTGCTCTGGCAAAATCTTTTTTTTTTTTTTTTTTTTTTTTTTACCTTGTACTACTTGATACTGAATTCCTCCCATCCCTTTCAGTTTTTAAATGGACTCGTACGAAAAAATCTAACCCTAGAATTACAACTCTCAAGCAAAAAATAGAGACATAAACTGAACAGTGAGGGGCAAATGTCGTAATTACAGCAGTAAAATCCTGAAAATACTATAACACTGAAAGCAGCTTGAAACTGTGCCACAGCAACCAGCACAGAAATGGAGTCAGCAAATACAAGCATTGTAGTTCTTGTTTAAACAAGCAATGTTAACCACAGTAAAGAGAAACAGATAAAAGTAAAGTACCCAAAGTGCACAGACATTCTTCTCCCTAAATGTTCACAGATAAGAATTTTTTTAAGTACCAGTAACTGTTTCATTTTGCCTTTAATTATGGAAATCAGAAGGAACATCCCTAAGGTGAGTCATGTCAAGAAGCATGAAAGAGGTGTAAAGAGTGGGAGGCCTAACTTAGCAGTTACATATTTCTGTTCAAAGAGAAATTTGAAAGTGTTTGTCAGACCTTTGTTGTTCGCCATCTAAAACAATTACCATTACGAACCACTGAACTAAATTTTTGAGCTCTTCATATTCATTTTTGAGGTATTAATGACTGATATGCTGTACAATTACTTTGTACTGAGCAGACAAAGTATTTCAAACACAGTTCAACATTTCCTGCCTTCCTTCTTAATTCAGACATTCTGGGATTGGTGTCATTCTTATCCCACCTTCTATTATTTCTGTTCTACATCTCCACTGGCTTCAGATCTTCCTGCCGCCCATCTAACATGGTCTTTGAATATCCCTCAACAACTCACACCAGCCACTGGCTTCAGAATCAGCCCTCAGCAGCCCAGCACTACCTTGGAAAGTGGATGTCATTATTGCCATTGATAACCAATGGAGCAGGGGATCTGTGTTAGCTGAAAAAGCATCTAACTCTTCAGTATTACCTCAGTTCACGGTGGTTCTTTTTCTGTCTCCTGATACTTTATTACAGCAGAATCATTTTAATTGGCACATGCTGGTGGAAACAAAACTGCATCTGTTGAGGGCCAGATTCTAGCACTCCTGCTCAGGTGGTACAAGTCCCTTGTTCTGGACTGTGTCCATTGAAATCAAGGGATCTGCCCAATTGTTAAAGGTTCATAGGAACACATTGTTCTGATAGGTATTCACTTTTATTCCATAATACGCTTTAAAAATACACACTGTACAAACCATTAAAAAAACTTCTATTAAAGTAAGTTTTGCCATAATAGAGCAGGGAAGCAGCAGGAAGTGAACAAAGGCTACCCAGCAAGACACTTATGCTAGAAAACACCAATTCACACCTGTTAACTACTGTGAATAAAATCTTTGGAATCAGTTCCTCAAAAAAGTCAAAGAAAGAAAGAAAAACTGTTCACCATGAAAGAAAACGGGAACCTCAGGTGTGCTGCTGAAAGCTGACGGAGTCAGATCAGCATTTATAATCAGTCACTTCTGAGACTACCTGAAGGAACGGAAGGAGGGGACTTGGCAGGTACACAAAGTACACACAAGCACTGAAGAATTGGTCCTCATAATTTTGGAGTGAAATAGATAACACCACCAGGTCCCGGCAGAGATACAATGTTCTAAACGAAAAGTTCAGCTAGAGCTTTGGTCCTGGGAGATAATTATAAAGCTGTCTGACCTAACTGACCCAAACTAATGAAATGAGTATAGCTGAACTGAGGAGAAAAGAAAAATATACAGGGAGATTCAAAACAGGGTTCCTGATCTGTGACTGCTGTTCAGATTCCTGAGAAAACAGACACATCACTGTCAAAGGCTTTTTCATTAATAGATGTATGCAACCGAGCAGAGTATAGAAACAGAAATGGACAAATTCTGATCCCCTTTATGTATGTCCACAAATCTGGACATACTGCAGTAAAAACTGAAGTGATTGTAGCCAGGTTATCTATTTAAGTTCCTACAGGCATTAACCAGGCATTTAATCATAATTTTTCATTTATCAGTCTAATGTCCAACTACACATCCTTACCTTTGTGAGGATCACACATTTGGGCAACATTTCATCAAACTGACTCATCAGTGGAAGTCTATCCCCTCTATTAATATTCCATTATTTGGAATAGAATGCTCTTGAAGAGAGATCTAAGATTACTGAAGAACTTGTGGATTTGTATCTTACATATGTTGAAGATGTTTTATATTAGCCGTGGGTCCAAAGTAAGCTTGAAGTAGGAAAATTCAACTGTGAGAAGCATGGCTTGGTGAGTTTTCTAGTGTTATGAGGCTGCCTTCTCAATCAGCTGCAGAACTGCTGAGAAATGGCGATAGGGCTTGCAGATCCACAGCTCAGCAATTCTTGGCATCACAAGCAGCCTAAAGGGCCTGTTCACAGATGACACAGCATAAGTCCTGACACTGTATCTCATTCTCCTTTATTTACACATCATCTTAAACAAGGAATGCTTTAGCGAGCAAGAGCAAGGTACAGTACTTAATGTGCAAATTCAGTTCAGCAGAACTCCAACTAAAGCATGTTAGCCTCAAGGGCTTTTCTCTCAAACAGTGCTCCTAAGTTCTCCACAGAAGGAAACTTGCTGAACTACATCTTTCTGAACTTTAAAGAAAGTCCTGGTTCTAAGCTGAATGATGGGGTAAATGAATGAGTAACTTCACTGAAAGCAGGTAGAGAATCCATACAACGAAGTTATTACAAGAAAATGTTCCTACCTTTTACTTTAAACTCTTTTGTTGTAAGAACATAATCCATCTCAGACGCTTTATTCTCAGCAGCAATCCTTAGAGTGGCCTTTGAGGATTCTCTTAAATAACATCTAGTATGGACACATAAAGGAAACGGACCAGAACAATCAAATCCGACATTTACTTTTTAAACTTAATTCTAGCCTCTCTCTTATTCCCAGACCACTCCTCGCAGTCTCCTTTACCCTCATCCCAAGCCAGTTTTATTCCTTCTTTTTCTCCCTGGATGATTCCCTCACAGCAGAGAGGTACCACTTTCAGGCAACTCCTGCTGTGCATCAGTTGCTCCCATGTAGACTATTTCTTGAGGCTCCTTTGCATGGCTCAGCCTACCCAGATGTAAAAAATATTTATTCCTGTCATAGTTGCTTTAGCCTTAATAATTACCACGTTTCTGTGTCATCTAGTAGTTGGTCACAGTGAAAGCTCATTTTGTTGGAAGGTGACATGTTGCCAATCCTGAATCATTTCAGATTCAGTCCTGAATTCTGAATGGGATCTTGTGTGTTAAGATTTATTCTTTCCATGGGAACTAATCAATCTTTCCAAATTGCCTCATCTAATACATCACAAGGTGCCTTATTTTGTATGGGAAAAAAAATGTATATCCAAAAGAATTAGTGTTTGGTTGTTAAACATCTCCTGACTTTCTTATTCCTTCTTTGAAACTATAAGCATCTCTAGGAAGTCACGCTCTGGTTACATTCTGGTATAGCAAAGCCTTAATGGACTGGCTTATACAATGTCACACATTTGAATTTGGACTAGATGTTCAAACTGGAAACTCATGAGACCTTTTGGCTCTGGCAAATAAATAAGTAAAAAGAAAAAAGAAAAAGGAAGAAGCCCAGGCCTTTTAAAAGCTTGTCCCTACACACTTCTGCAAACAAGTTGATAGAACTACAGGTGAGGAAAGCAATGAAGTTCAGTGAATGTCTTATCAGATATGAGGGTGTTTTGTAGTTTCTCACATATTCTAGATCCTCCCCACAGACCCATTTCATTTCATTTACTTTAAGCCAGCATCATTTTTCATCTCTGCTACATTCAGCTCCTCATCTTTTTTGGCTGTGCAACTCACATACTTTTCTTCTTTTGCTTAAGAAGGAATAAACTTATTTTTTAATAGAATCTTGGAAGAAAATCTGGGACAGTGATGAAATAGGAGAGGGTTGGAAGCAGATACTGCCTGAATCTGCAGAAGGACTACGCAGTCACACATTCTTGACTTGATTGTGCAGCAGAAGAATGTATACCAGGATTGGCAGTGGAAAGTGGGTCAGTTCTTTCAGGCTCTACATAGGAATAATGCCTAGGATGGGGTTCCTAACAAACAGGCCCATCATCAATGCAAAACACATCCTTGTTGTTTCTGCAAGACACAACTGCACTGTTGCCTTTGACCTTGATGCAATCAGTATTTTGTCTTTGAAGTGGGAATTATCAACACCGTTTGGCTTCTTTTATTTCCTACATCAAAATAGCTCTTAATTCCATGGAGATATTTCTCCCACCCCAGCCCGCTTAAATGTCACTAGCTTAATTACGTCTCTAGTTAGCAATACTGTTAGCTGCTTGTACAGGTTGTATCATAAACTATTTGTAGGTAGACTAGTCTTTCTTTGGCATTCATAGTCATTCTTTCACAGGTGCTAACAAGTCCTTTTTTTTTTTTTTTTTTTTACTGAAATTTAAAAAATACAGATGCTTAAAGCTGCTCCAAAAGTAGCGCCTCCTATTTTAATACGTTGGCCCACAGTGTCAGAGGTGGATATTGGCAGCATGGCAATAAAGACTGAACCTTCCCACCAATATCCATGTGGGAAATATGGCACCCACTGATATTCATCAACACTTACTGAACATTTATGGAGACCAAACAGTCGATATGAGTGCAGTGAGGTGGCGGTGGTTGTGTGAGTGGCAACTGAGACAAGCCACATTCCAGATGACCATGAAGAATTTTAGAAGCATAGCATGCAGGCTCAGTTTCATTGCTTGCAGAAGTGCACAGTTTATGGTGCTGACTGTGTTGAAAAATAGTGTTTTGTAGCTGAGAATTTACTCTATCAAACAGTGTCATTGTACCCTTTGTATCTGTTATAGTTCCCATGGAAATAAAAAGGAGGCATTTCTTTTGGAGCTACTAAATGTACTGGGACAACTAGGCCAATGAAAGTAAAAAGTGAACTTTAAGAACTCTTAAAAAAACTAAATTCATTTCCTGATGAAATATTTGAGAAAACCACTAAAATTTCCTTTCTGTACTGAAAGATTCAAAAGGCAAATAGAACAATAGTAAACTTTAACAGTAGATAATAATACTGAATATCCTGCACAGTCATCAATATTAATGATATCTTGTAATACTAATTTTAAGAAGCACACAAAAATTAACATTACATATTTATTAGCATATTACCTCAAATGATTTATAATAACAGAAGTCACTATTTAATTTTTTTTTCCTTTCACTGGGCAAAAGCATAAAATGACACAAAGTGCTACTCTTGTTTACTTACTCTTCTTGCATGGTTGTATAATCTTTTTGTTCTGCCACCACCAGGTAGATCTTCTTTCTTTTTGCCCTCAGGACTCTTTTTCCCAGTTTACTGTGATTGTCTGAGGGAAGAAAATAGGAAAGACATCAATACCACCAGTTCAAATTTTGAAAATAGCTTACACTTGCAAATTCTGCCCCTGCCCCCCTCCACTCTCCCTCCACTAAAAATACATAGCTTTGGAAATATTTTTGGTAAGGTTTCAAAGATAAAACACGACAGGATCAAGGACTAAGGGATAAATCACTGTTAGTGTTAATTTTTTTTTTTTTACCAGGACTGGAAGCAGAGTTGGCAAACTGATTTCAATTAGTCAGGGCTGGCTATATACTGGGGAGTCTACGCTTACATATCCATTTTTTTTTTTACACCAGTGCTTCTTTTGGATTCTTAGATAAAGGAGTATAAAGTGGGCATTCTCCACTTGATGCAATTTCACTATACAGTGATTCCCATCAATGTATAATTAAAAGTGGATTTCCTTTCCCCTGTTTGGCTGAGGTGGGGGAGGGTTCGTATAAACCTGGTTGATGTGAAGTGAACAAAGAGAACTTTCATGAGTTCTCCTGCAAACAGTCTATCAGTTACAATTCCTAGTGTTCACACTGCTGCACTGTTCAAAAGGAGCTCTAAAAAAAAAAAAAAGTCAAGCAGGGGGTCCAAGAAAAATTCAACCCGCATGCCAACTAAGGGAAAGAAAGAGAAGGCAGGAAAAAAAACCTAGCTTTTGTTGTAAAAAGAACTAATGAAGCTGCTCTTAGAACTGTCCATGGTGACACAACAAGCCTGTGCACCCACACACATTGTGAGAATGCCAGTCACCCACAGTAATGAGAAAAGGAAATACTGTGGGCAAAGGAAATATATGAATACACTGCTTTTATGGTTTAACTGTGGGGAATCACAACGCTGGCCCACAATATCTTGTGCCAACTGCCAAAAGTGGTAAAGTAATACATAAGGTTGTCTACTTATATTTTTCTTACCGACAAGATGGACTGGTGGGGGGTAAAATCCCATTATCATTATAAATTGCTAATTAAATAATTATCAATTAGATGGGCAGACAGAACTCATTCCAATGAATTCCTTGGAGGGCTTTCAGTAAAGAAAAACAGTAATTTTGATTATTTTTTTTATCCATACTTCCTGCCTAGGGGCTCTAAATAGAGATGATATATGGTGTATCCCATGTTAGACTTTCACACAGTATATCCCATGTTAGAGCTCAGGGACAAACACCGAACTTTGGAGCATATATAGATCTTCTTTCAGTTTTCCAGATAAATGGCCTTAATTTCATTACATTAATTAGAAACCCAGGGTTATTTCCTAAGGAATAAAAATAATATTTTCCAGACTTCTATGTGGCTTTGAGAAATCACTTTTTTTTTTCCTAAGCAACTGATAATATTTTCTAATGTCATTTCATTTGTTTTTCCTTGCTTTTTGTAATCTAGAAATTTCTTTGAAATAAAATATCGAAATATTTAATACGGATAAATATACAGATGTTAAGCATGGTTTAACTTCATACAAGGAATATTTTTAATGAAATTTATTCTATTCATCAACATCAAAACCAGTGCAAAATTCAACCTTATGCCCACAGGTTTTAGCTGCCAAGTTTTCAGATCATACCCTTGGGAAAAACTGTTGTCACAGTATAGAGCAACAGAAATGATCCTGTCCTGTGCCCCTTACTCATGTGAGTAATTTTCCCTGAGGTTGGGGGTCCTGCTAGATTTAATAAAACTTACTCAGCTATAATTACTCACATGCACACAGATCAGTTATACACACACTTTTCTTGTCCCAAATAAGTTTTCCAAGACAATTAAAAACTGGAATGATGTGCAACTCTTATTAAAAACAAACAAACAAAACCCCCCCACACACACACAAAAAAAGAAAGCAAAAAAAAAAAAAAAGCTTCAGTTGGCTGTAACAAGGAATATTCTCTAAGAACAGAAGTGCTACAGACTTGAAGAATCACACTAATGTTTGGGACATCGTTTTCATTGCTGGCAAACACCAACAAAAAAAGTAAGGAACGGAAATGGTAACATGAAAGATGGACTTTTAATTCCAAAGCCATGAACATTTAAATATGAATGGGGCTTGCTGCAATCCTCTATCTTTTGTCAGGAAATATGAAGCTCTGGAACTCCTTTTGTTGACTTCTTTGTTAACTGTATGAGGATGAAAGAAGTTAGAGGCCTTTTTTCATTTTCAAGACCCATCACATTGAGGCTCTCAAAAATAAATGCTGATAAATTCATGAAAATGCTGAAAGGTTGATAAAAGGAGAAAACTTTGTTTTCCAGACTGTGACATCTGTCACTGAATGAAATACCAGGGATAATTATCATTAAAAACAAACAGCACTTTTAGATTTCTCAAGTTTAGAAAGGGAAAATTAGTTATAGTAAGATGCAAAACACAATTGGCATTGTAAATTTCTTTTCCCTCAATTTTGACATGTTTCTCTGTTAGTTTCTGGGAGATCGCAGAGTCCTAAGGGAAGCTCCTCAAGGTGACGTCCTCTAATGTGATTTACTTTGAGGAATACTTAATGGAGAAAGGTGCCTACTACATTTTGTTATTGAGTTTTGTTCATGGTTCAGGATTGATCCACTTGAGTCTTTCAGCAGGGAGTAGTTTTCCAGTGTGGCACAGCATGACTCCAAATCAATAAGGTTAATAGATGTGGTGGCCACACAGTCAGAGGTGATGTGCCTGGCATTTTCTGTGCCAATGAAGAAAATTTCTGATGACGAGACGTCATTTTTGTGCCGGCAGTAATGTCACCCTGATTACCTAGAGCACAGAGCCAGTTAGTAAGTTAGCAAGACTGTAAATGGCCCATTAATCTGAATTATGTTTACAGCAACTGTTTGAAAAAATTTTGCTTGCATCCAGATTACCAGCCACCCTATTATTCATGAAATGCCATCAGCACACTTGCTGTATAAAAATGGTATTGCTGTGGAAAAGGGACTAAATGGAATGGCTGGTCTGGAAGTCCAATGTATATTTTTAAACTCTTAAAACGTGTTATAAAACCTGAAAGACACCAGTCATCAAACAAACAAACAAACTTACAAGTAATTTTGAAATTAAATAGATTATATAAGACAAAGGAAAAAAAATATGATTCTATGATTCCATTGAAAAAAAATGTTATAATGATGTAACAGCCAAATCTACTGATATAAAAGTGTCATGTGTTGGTCTTTCTGCAGTTCTGATTTTCTCCAACTTTTTAAAATATGCAAACTCTTAACGGTGCCTTCTAGAGCACTAATGGGTACATGTTCCCAGACGGCTTGTGCTGTGAAAAAGGAGTGAATTGAAAAGAGAAAGTTGTCTAATATTCCAATATCTAAATGTCAGGAAGATGTAATTTAGAGCGCCACTAAAAGATGTACTGAGTGAACTACAGTTTATGGTGACTTTAGTTAACAAATGGCATTGAGGGAAGAATTTCCGTAATTGAATCATTAAGTAAGATGAAATATTGATTTGCTCCCTGATATTAGTGCATCATCACTTGTCAGACTTGTACACACCCAAAGAACACTCAGTGCTGTGTCTAGCAGCAATAATGATTTTTATTATGATAATACTGTCAAGAACTATAAAGCAGAGAAAACAGCAAGGTATGTGCATACCACACCATCCCTGCACCAGAGATTTCACAGTTAAATTTTTGAAGAAAAATTATAGGACGAATGCATGGAACAGACTGGGTAAAATGATGGTTTGTATTATAAGGCTCATTCCTTATTCACTTCCTTCCTCTACTCATACTTCTTGATAACTGGTATGGAGTGAGCCAGCTTTACAGTGCTAAATAGTTCTTTTATCTGAAGAACCGAATTACATTGCAATTTATATCAGTAATTCAAATAACAGCAAAAGTTAGGACTTTTTTTGGCTGTTTTTACTGTTGTCCAGTTGAAGTTGAATGTACACCATGGAAGGAGTACAGCATATTCAATGGCTATTTCTATTCCGGTATGCTCATTAAATACGTCAAATATTTGAGCAAATTCAGTTGAAATTGAAAGGAAGGACTGAAAGAGGCAAGATAAAAAAGAAAAAAGAGATCCTCCTTAATTGAGTTTTAACCAGGTAGCATTGATAATTAATCCTTCCTTTTGGCAGCATGATGAAGATGATGATGATGCAATGTGTAGAATTTGGATCTTATATTAAGAATAAAAGTTGCTTAAATATTTGATGATAACTATTTTTTTGGTGAAAGGTTTTGCAGACTACAATATCATATATTACTCACAAAGTGATCACAGAGCTTAAAAATATCTTGAACACATAAGGTTTACTCTTTTTGGTACACCTGTCAAGATCTGTGTTTCGAGAATCTGTCCACTCAGTGCCAAAATGGAGAGGCGTTGTATTTTAGGAAAACGTTTAAAGTAGTGTTATTTTCTACCTCAATCTTTCAGCAGGAAAGCAGTTCTTTTGCCGTTAAACATTCAAAAATCATGTCTCATTTGAATAAATTAACATACTTTGTGGCAAAAATTAATTCCAAGGAAGGAACAATAAATAGGAAAGCAATTTAAATTGTGTATTTTACAGGGAAGGCAAAAAAAAAAAAAAGAAAACCCAGCATTATCATGCATATGACAGCTCAGCTAATTTGATGGGCTTTGATGTTAATTTAGGGTTTACTTTAATTTCAAAACATATTTTTTCACTTAATAAGGGAAACAAAAGAAACTTTCAACCAGTTTGTTATCTGGGAATGTTTTGGCTTCTCAAATGTGAGAACATGATTGTTTTTATTTCCAGGAGGAGATAATAACACTGAAGCAATAAAAAAGAGTCAAGGCAGCTTGCACAGCACAGGAAGTTCACAGCCAGAGACTTAATTTCCCACACAATGTACTGTGCAATGGGCCCATTAACATAGATGAATAGGCTCTTTAAAGGGTTTTTTTTCCAGATATGCAGCTGCCGCTGAATGGTGCTATGTTAATAAGGTACTCACATGCCTATTCTTCAGGTACTCTGGCATTCTCTACCTAGGTAATCTCCATATAGGAAAGGCTATTAGGGGTTGTATCTCCTACCACACCTTCAATTATTTTAACACCTGCACTGATAATCCAGGCAAGGTAAACTGGTAGGGGGCCGGGGGTCGAAGTCCATCCTCTTCCCCCCCAAAGTCACATCTCAGAGGGAGGGGCTTGAGGAAGAAGGGGGGAGGAAAAAGTAAAGTCACTTTTATTACACATCAGTGGGAACATTCTGAAAAAGCTTTCATGCCTAGGAAATTGTTATTTCTTCAAACAACTGACAGCCTGCAGAGGAAACTCTAATGGAAATCCAGCTCATGCATTGTTATGCATGGCCCTCATGTAGATACATGGGGGTGGATTAAGTTAGCTTCCAAAGGGTCTATTGTGTGCAGCATTAATTTGCAGTGCTCTTGATATTTGAGTTTGAAGGTTTTACAACCTTTGTGTTTACTTAGATGCACTGTATCCTAGGTTTGTTTATTTCCTTCCACAATCTCTTATTACCCTGTAAATGTTACATTTATCTTTATTAACTTTCAGTATGTTGCTGTAAGTCACAAAGAAGGAAATAATTACAGCCTCCTTGAAATGCAGTCATTTTAAGGGCTTTTTTTTCCCTTCCTGGTCAGTTCTGAGTTATCCGTCTGTAAAAACATTGGCCTTCTTTGTAAAGCAAGCAGAACAGAAGTGTAAAAATGGTGCCATTTATTATTATATAATTATTAAATCAAAGATATATCCTTATATTTCTCATGTCATAAACGTACAGATAAATTAATGGATCAATATAACCTTCATTGTGAGTCTGCCACTAGTGCAACTATCTCTTTTACCCAGATATGAGAAAAAATACCTATATCAACTCATCATGAGCACAGTCTTCCCACTATATCCTCAGAATCATTTACAAAGTTATTTATTGTCACATATGGCTCTTCATCTCCCAATATTAAGAAAGAAAATAAAAATAAGACTTGTCCTATGCTAACTTAACCTGTGTTATTGTTTTCCTGTATAGATCCATATACGCCGTAGACAGGCATTTTTGTAAATTCAACTTTCCAGTGAGATTTAAATTTAAAGATCCTAATGGTTTTTTATTTGAACTTGTCAGAGATGTCTACAAGTGTTAGTTTTTCAACAATGAACTAAGAACTCAAAGTAACTAGTACATTCAAAAGAAGCTATGATCCTAATCTGAACTAAAGGGCTCAACTGAATAAAAATACCTTATGCTCGAGTAACTCAATTTATGTGTGACTCCTTTCTTCCCCTCCCCCTTTATATGGAAGTTAGTCAGTTAGTTGCTGTATTTTAATAACGCAAAAGAGCTTTCTGTAAAAAGAGTAAGTAAGACTTACACTAATTATGGTCTGAACCGTATCAGGTGCATAGTTTTTTCAAAAAACCTTCCAAAACTAGCAATGGGGAAGATCCCTTTAAAAAAAAACACAGAAAGTTCTGAATTCAGGTCTTGATGCTACATAATAAATTAAGAGGAAAGAAATTACTCATAAGGATCACAACAGCAGAACAGCTGCCTGGAAGTCCCACTTGCTTCTTAGGCTGAGGGCCTCTGTTTGAAACCAGCCTCTGAGTGAGAAGTGCAGACTGAACGACAGGAGCCACTGACCTCAGCTGCTGAAGTGAAGATCTTAATCCAGCGTTTAGAGCTCGGGGTCTTTCCCAGTGTCCTAGGAAATGATAACAGCGGGAACAGAAAGAACTGCGTTTCAGAAAGCTGTTTGAAGTACCGTGGTACTACTGGCATTGTATAAAACAATAGCACAGCTTCTTCTGGAACACGTTAAAAGTATGTGAAACCCTGGCTGGTTTAGGGAATACAGATCTAGTGCTTCTGTTCTCCTTGTTTTGTAACACAAGGACAAGCAGTGATAACAAAGAGATGCAAATTCAAAACCAATCAAAGGAAAGCCTTTTTTTTTCTTCCTCATTTTGGATAATTAGGCTGTTGGTACGCAATATCATAATATTTCACTAAAGTCAGATTAAATCCAACAGATTACAAAGAGAAATCAGGTATTTGTATAGTAAAAGAATCTCCAACATTACTATAGTTAACTTGAATTACTGCCAAATAAGAAGGGGCCTGCATTTAGAATGTAAGTCCTCACCTTGTATCACAAGGTTCTGTCTTCAGCAGAATCCTCAGTCCCTGGTGGCTGCCTGAGATACAGTGCAGTGATATCTGAACCACCACTGGTACAATATGACAGTTATACTTTGCTACATTCCTACAACATCCCTCACCTTTAATCATCATTGATTCACTTTTTTTTTTTTTTTTTTTTTTTTTTTTTTAAATCAAAGCTGCAAAAAATACAACAAAACAAGAGGATTTTTGGTTTGCTTTTAAATTCCAAGGTTGTTTTTTGTTGTTGTTTTTTTTCCTTCCAAAAATAACAAGAAGTGAATATTACAAAGCCTGACTTGCTATCGTAAAAGCAGGCAAAGCTCTTCCAGTCATAGCATCCACAGAAAACTTCTATACTGAAGACCTCCCACAAGTTATCAAAGACCATATTATGGAGATTTAAAACACTCTTCTCTCTTCATTAAAAGGAAGAACAGGTGTGACCACTGCAATCAGGCAGAGATTGCAGGCTTTTCTTTCTTTCTTTTGCAACTGTGAAAACATTTTTGATCCTTGTTCTCTTTTCTAGAATGGCAGAAATTATTCCATAGATCTCCTGACAATAATGCCTTTACAGGTACATGAGACTGCCTCCTATCTGTATATTTTTGGAACATTAACATTTAGTGTGTTTATGTATTTCTCTATCAAAGCTGCTTTTTATTTAATACAGGAACTTATTGCATGTTAATTCTGTGCAGCTTTTTTTACAACTTTCCCATATTCCAAAAGAGGAGCCATATACAAAGAGTACATTATGCAAGTGAACTAGACTTCTGTATTTTCTATCTGTGACTTTTTAAAGCAATCATTCCAAGACACACATGATCTGAAATGCAGTGATAAATGTTCAGCATATTAAAGAAGTCTGATTTGTCCTTGGTTTCATAGTGTGCACAGTACTTACATTGCCTAGGTTTCCCTCAACTCTTCGCCAGCCCAGGAAGGGCAATCTATTCCAGCACTCACAGTGACTCATGCCTATCTGTTCCCTGCACTCAGCGTCATGGGAAGGTGTAGCTCAGACCACACTAATCCCCCCACCAAAATCTTCCTAGAAGGTGGTCATGGAGGTGTCTGTGCCTCCACTTTCCCACCTCTCTGGACCCCAGTCAAGAATGGGCAAAATGAGAAGCAATCACACTTTGTGTATTCTTTAAAGACAAGAAACAGTCTATCTCATAATCTCCTCCTTTTGACTCATACAATATTAAATGCTTAATAAATACCTGGAATTAACCACAACAGGGATGAGATGAAACTCAACAGTTTCCCTTCAGGCAAAAAGCCAGCTACAAAATCTTCAAAGTTGGTTACCCTTCCAAGGTCTCTGAGTGTGAACAGTTGACGGGTATCCAGGAAAACAGAAGTGGTTGTGGGAACTGCATGTTGGAAGAGAACGAAGATAAATTAGTGTTGACGATCTGCATCGCTGAGATAGTAAAGGACACATTTTAAATCTAAGGAATAGTCATTTGGAGGTTTGTGACCTCTGCCTATAAATAAAATTACAGGCGCTCTCTTGAAAACAGGAACCATTGGAAAGGAGTTGGCCAAGAGGAAGAAAAGATTTAATAAGAGAAGCGTTATAAGGAAAAAGTAAACAGAGAGGGAAGCAGAGAAAATAAGGTATCAAAATAAAGAAAACAGACAATAGAAAATATTTGCACAAAGTAGAATACAAGTTTTAGAAACAGTGTGCATAGGTGACACTGAGAACATGAGGTGAAGAAAGAGGATGCCTTTCTCATTTGGAGAATGATATTACTCTATTAAGAGAGAGGAAAACCTATTTTCTTTACACTGATGTGATATACAAAAAAAGCAAGTAATCCTCTGCCTCTGATTACCCCCTTCTGTGTTGATACTGCTCAGGTGCACAAGCACCCTGTTAACCAGGATATACTTGTCAGGCTGACCTGTTCAGCACAAGCCTCTTCTGGATGTATCATGTCGCTGTCTCACTAACTTTCAAGACAGAACTGTTCAGAATTTCACCAAAACAGAAAAAGGGGAGAATAACAGTGACAACAGCCAGGCAACAGGAGGACCCCACTGAGGATGTTAGGATGCTGTGTCTGCTGCTTGCTGGGAGTCTGGATATTGCACCTCAAACATGGAAGGGACAAGTTCTTTTTCTTGTGCTCTAGTGGTCACTTTGCTCTGAAGACCTGAGCAGCTCTTAGCTGCAGACTCCAGAAGGATGTGGCTCAGAAACAACCAGCCCCGTTGCTGAGCACCGTGATTTTTTTACAGCTTGTTCAAACCATCACAGAAGTGGGGGCAAAGCTTGCAGGGAGCAGGGGTAATCACTTTTACATTAAATATCTGGAAAAGATGTGGGCTATGGGCAGGAAGAAGGGACACCGGGGGAAGGAGGAGATGCAGGAAATGACAGTAGAAGAAAAAGCCACTGAAAATAAATCCAGTGACTCATGGAAAGGTGTGACATTGCAGCAAGACTGGAGACAAGACTAAGGGAGGAGGACCACACATCTACATCTTACACATTTTGTTCTAATATGCTCTTTTGCCTTTATCTTTTTTTTTTTTTTTCCTGTTGCTTTTTTCATGCTGTCTGCAAAGTTTTGCAAAAGACTCCCACTGCCAAAGCCAACCAACACAACTGGGTACTGAGATGGTGCTTCTTATCTGCGGACCTTTTTTTTTTTCTATTTTGTTCTTCTGAGATGGGCTGCTAAGGAAACAAGGTTCCCATGTAATTTCAGCAATGACAAGTGAATCAGTTCTTTTGCTTAAAAAAAAAAAAAAAAAACAAACCAAAACCTCATTTTCATATTTCCATATTTAATTTTAGCACTTGCATGTACGTTTCTGTTATCTTTCAGCCACATGTTGCTATTTGTCTCTGTAGTGGAGGATTTCTTTTTTTCCTTTTTTTTTTTTTTTTTTTTTTTTTTTTTACTGTGGGCTATGTGAAGCCTGACTTGCATTTAAAAGATCCACAGGGGAAAAAAAACCAACAACCCTATAGTCCTCACTGAGATACAGAGAGCTGGCATGCTGCATGCTTTGTGGGAGCACTCCACGCTACCATCTCAGATAGCAGGACACGTATGCCCAGCATCTTGCACCTACACACCAACAGCAGTGCTCAGTGCAGTGTCTTAGAGAAAATCAACAGACATGGGTGAGGAGGGGCTTGAAAAAAATGAACTACTGGTTGTTCCAAAAATTAGTCAGATTTGTCTGACAAAACACTGTTTTAACACTTGTCTAGCCACTATGCAACTTCCACAGAGGACAAACAGATGAAACTTGGGTAGAAGAAGCATTCGGAGATCTATGAGACCATTTCAGATTATCTGATTGCAGTTAGACTTTTGTCTATGTTACTCACCCTTCAGCTATCCAACTTGCAATGAGAATCAAGCTTCTAAGGTATTTGGGTGCTTTTGAAAAGGTTACGTGCAGTCATAAGCAGGCAGTCAAGACTCAATGTTCAGTCAGCTTTAGTGAGGCAGCTCATTGCTGTGATACATCTTAACTCGGCTGCTGTTCTTACTGGCAGACAAGGTTTCAGACAGACTCTGGTTATGATCTAATCTTGGTCTGCATGCTCAAACTCCTTCTGCAGCCAACACAGGGACTGCCTTGAACACAAGAGAGAGCAACTGCAATCAGTTTTCTGTTTGAACAACAATAACTTCTCTCTATAGTTACAAATCTTCCCCCCATGATGCCCGGACACCATCCATGTCGCCCGTTTGTAGTTCTCAGTGTTCACTCACCTTTGCACTCCTCTCTATTGCTGCATGTTGGCCAACTTTCTTTCATAGATTTTGTCAGGACAAGCTTTGATGGATCAGACTTCAATCTGTGCCATACCTTAACTACAGTACTGACTGCATTCATTCAGGTGAACAATACGTATAAGTAGCACAAATTTACCATCACATACAAAAGCGTATTGTCATAAAGCTATATTGTGGTTGATAAAGACATATTCCAAGCATTTATCCCATTAAATATGACAGATTTTCTGCTCCAAATACTCTCCATGAAGCTAGAAGCTTTCTGTCAATTGAGTGTGATAGAAAAGGGTCATGTGATGTTAGCTCACAACATGATTTGCCTTAATAAATACAATAACTTTCCTAAAATGTGTCACCTATCCTCTGCCCACCTAACATCAGCTGAAAAACTTCTTGGTTTTGCCACCGTGACCAGCAGGCACCAGAACAATTCAGTGTCATGTCTCTCAATATCTTACGGCATGACCCCATTGAGATATTTGTGACAGAATATGACAATCTGGAAATATCACCCTAAACACTTAAGACATCTCTGCAAGCCTTTTGGGTACCATACAATCATATGAGACTCTACACATGCATACAATTATCCCATTCCCTTTGTGTAGGGATAGGTCCTCAGTTTTGCATAGTTTTACAGTGAGGTTCAGTTGTGGCAGAGCTGTGCATTACCTGGCATTTGTTTGAACAGGGGGATGTGGAAGCTTAGGACATGACAGGACAAAAACATCACTCAGCAGAGTATCTTCTGTTTTTGCAGTCAGTAAAGCTCAAGAAGACAGTGCTATGAGAAAATGAAACACAGTAGTTAGAGCCCAAGGAGCAAAAAATTGATTATCCAGGGAGAAAAATAAAGAACCTGACAGAAGAGATACACAATGTGGATATTAAGATCTCTAGTTGCAGATTTATAACTTGATTGTTTTCCCCAGAGATGACAAGTTATGTACAAAGAAACAGATTCAGTTTGGTCAGTTTAGTTTCCAGTCAGTTTAGGATTCCATAGTCGATAATTTATACAAACTACACTCACTACCTTGCACTGGAATGGCCAAATTTTGAACTTAAATATTACAAGTAAAAGAGACATGAAAGTGAGTTTTTGGAGAAGTATTTGAAAAATTAGGAAAAATTAATAGCTTTCATGAAGTTTGTTCAGCATGTGAATCTACCTGCAATTATTTTTGAGTTTCCCTTATAAAAATTAAATAATCTAGAGTTACTAGATGACTATTTTATTAAAGCAGAAAGAGAAAAGTTTTTTTTTTTTTTCCCCAAAACTTAGGAGTTTAAAGGTTCAACTAGTCCATTTATATGAAAATCCTGAAATTTGACCAGAGATTACACACTTCTTTCCTGCACTTTCTTCACATCCTATGGAAAATGTAGCACTTTAATTCTGGAGCAGTTAACATAAAAGATCTTGCTTAAGAGAAGCTTTTCTTCTGCAAAAGATAATCTGCTTTCAAAGTTATAAGTTTGACAATCAAGTGGTCTAATTGATTGAACATTTACAAATACTTCATAATTAAATTTGTGCCAAACTATGTGAAAAAGATTAATGTTCCGCTTCCCCAAACTGTTTCTCCCTCATGTTCTTTTTTGTGTGTGTGCATGTGTGAACGGAATCTTTGGAAACTCCTTCCAGTTGATGCATCATTGAGGTGGTTGAACACATTGCATTATGGCAGTCTGTCACATCAGTGTTTCACCCTGAGATACCGGACTTGACACACTGGGAAAGAAAGTTAGACAATCCAAAATCCGAGGAGTCATGTTTCTTTTGAAACTCAAAGACAGAATTTTGATCTACTTACCTCCGATTGTAGCAAGAAAAAAGAAGTTTAAGTAATTATAGTATAACTTTTGAAACATTAAGAAGAAGTTCCCGTAAATAATAAGGTCTTACTGGTCCTGCATGTTGTTGGAAGTAACATGCTCTGTAAACAACACTTTCTATTTTGGTGAACCACTCTAAGTAGTTATGGCGACACAATACAGGGGATAGAGTCTGACACACCGGCAAACAGAATATGGCACTGCAGTACTTGTATGCAATAATGCCTTGAATAGAAGTAGTTCCAATGCTTTCACTACCACATGAACTTTTACCTCGTGCCATGGTATTGATTGAAATTTTGCCTCCAGACAACCTTCCTCGGACAGTGTTTCATTCAACTGACACTAGACCTAGTAAATGAAAATTTGTAGTAGTTTTGGGGTTCCATCTTGTATTTCCAGAGGAAGAATCGCAAGTTTATTGAAATACAAAGCTTAACTTGTGGAGTTGTGCAGAATGTTCACACCGTTATTTTTAACCAGAATGTATAGCATACCTTTATGGCGATTTTATCACACACAAAAAATAATTGCCAAGATCACAAACAACAGTGTTTCAGTATTGTAGTGCAAGAGGGTTAGGAACAGGACCTGGAAATTCTAGTTTTTTTAGCTTTAATCAGCATACAATAATGCGGATGAGTAATTAATATGGAAACAAGGGTGAAGATGGATTGCCACAGTTTGGAGGAAAAGAGTGCCATCTGGACAATATTGCCAGCTCAAGATTATATGCAAGTCTGTTATTTAGTTTTTGTTTTCAACAACAGAGAATACGTGATATATTAAGTCTAACAACAAAAAGCCAATGTTCATAAACCTTAATATCAAATGATGTTTGAAAACAAGATACTAGCTTTTATATATGCATTGCACATTGATGCTTCTATTACTTCTATTATTTAAAGTTTTTTCAAAATGAAAGTTATAACTTTAAGCTCATGGGTTAATAGCAGCATTTGTTGAAAATTCTAAAATTTGCTCCACTTTGGCAAGCTTTTGTAGAGCTTTTGTGCAAGGAATGAGGAGCATTATAATAATGTTAAATCTCCAGTGGATTCCTCCATGGATTCTCTTTATTTGAATTCTCTATGGCATCCTAGATCCAAGTCTCATGTCAGATCCTTTTCTCCTTTTTATCTCAGAATTACCAGTAAATGACCCGTACTGGCAATATTTCTCTTATGATAAAGTACTGCTTCTTACAATGTCCATCGCAGATCTCCTGATTTTATTCTAAGTGTACGAGGTCTCAGAGTGTCCTCTCAGATTCACACAGCTATAGCAAGCAACTTCAAAATTAACCACACAACCAACCCCAAACTGCTCAAAGTGTACAAATTTCTCATTATAAATAAAAGAATCAAAACCATTTGAATGCTGTAGGGCCATGACAATTTTTTAGCTTAACATGCATTAAAAATTTTTTCAGAGGGCTCTATTTCAGCCATGCCTTTTTATCTGCCTTCCACCTTCCATCATATCTTCCATGTGCATGAAGAAACCATCACTATCAGAAGAGCAATAAATGACAAATGATGGAAGAGTTATCACATTTATCCAGAAGTGAATGAGGTGCTAAATTAATACCAAACACACAGCTGAAAGTTCTTCCTCAGACTTTGCTATGGGCTCATCCTTACTCATTACTTACTCATCCTAATTAAGACAATCTTTTATGAGCTTCCATGAAGTTAAATATACTTTTATTATCCATTTGATCTTGGTTCAATTCCCAACCCACTACAGACTAAGGCCTAAGTCTTTGTAATATAAGGAACTTAATTCTAGTTTGTAATTAATTATTGCAGTTTGAATGAAGTTCCAGGGGAAAAAAAGTACTTATTTTTCCACAGCAATTCACACTCATGCTTGAGTACTGACCAATTTGTGTTGAACAGAACAGCAGAAATACAAATACCTTGGAGTGCAGCATGGAGCAGCTCTAGGGCTGCTTAGGGTACATACTTCTCCCTACAAGACCAGGAGAGGCTGAATGTTTCACAAGTCAGCATGCACACTGCATACATCCTTGTTAATGTAGAGATGTTCCCTGTAAGCTAAAATGCAGCAGATTCATGCATGTGGGGCTTCATTCCTTAATGGAGACAGAGTCCTTGTCCAAATCTCATCGTCTCAGTAAAACAGCACAAGTTTCTTTGCCAAATTGTCTCGTAAGACCACACTGAGATCTGGATTTACCCACTGCCACAGGGTTTAATGATGTTAAGGGCAGCACTGAATTACATCTCTACTTGTAATTTCCATCTGATAAAGGACCAGGAAATGCAAAAGACTGAATACATATACACAACACTGGAAAATGGTCCAACACAGTGAGCCATAGCATGTAGTATTTAACTCTCACTCAACACAACTCATGCTACTTTACTGAGGCATTCAGAAAGGGATGTGTTACTACAAAGCTACAGAACATTACAGAACAAATAAATAAAAATTGAAGTACTTTGAGATTAACTTTCACAAAATCTGTTGCTAAAGGGATCCCATTAGGCCATTACTCCCACAACTCTTAGCAAGGACTCAAAATCATGACTGCAAATAACTACAGGAGAACTAGAGGAATGGCTTCAAAGCTTTGTGTTTCGCAAAATAAATGAAAACTTAATAGAGCTCAATTTGCAAAATACATGCCAATTTTACAATTACGGCATAAAGAATTGCAGTTCAAACAAACGATCGTCAACATGGCTAAAAGTTTATCTAAACTGGACATCACAGTCATAAAAAAAAAAAAAAAAGAATCAGTGAAAGTGAGAGGTAAGGGATGGCTGCAGAACAATAGCACCATTTTCAAATTACAAAAATAGAGCCTTGACTTATAATAGAAACCAGAGCTAAAAGTTGAATGCCAGCTATTTTTTTTGTTTTGTTTTGAGCTTTCATGTTGACCTCTGCTCTACACAAACTTAAATCTGTTTTACATCAGAAGCTGCAGGGACATGGGAATACATGGGAAAAGAATATGTCTGGCAGCTTAGAGAGGACCAGCTAGATTTCCTGAGCTCCAGTGGGATTGGTGACATAACTAAAAAGCAACAAACAGCAGGTGAGAGGAAGGATTTAAATATAAATAAGAACACTTTGAAGCCATAGGGTTTTATTGATCACATTCACATTTTTTAGAAAAATATGTAACTAAGTAAGAATGCAAAACGAAGATACCAAGAAAGGAAAAATATATATACTAGAGAAAAGTGAAAGTATGGAATAATGTTGATAAATACTCCCTGGCCTAAAAATAAAATAAAATAAAATAAAATAAAATAAAGTAATTTTTAAAAATCATCTAAATGCCCTATTTTCTTTAATTAAAATACCTGAATTATTTAAGGATTTCTGACTGAATTAAAAATTGAAGACACATCAAGATCTGACAAGTGATGTGATTAGTGGTTTACACAGTCATTAAGATTTGCCTGCCCATTTGGACCCAAACTTAGCCTCTAATTAGAAAAACTATCAGAAATTCAGTCCCACAAACTCAGTATATACATACTACATGGTTAGTAGTATGGTTAAAAATATTAATTTGCAGAATTCACCCTTTTTTAAAAGATCAAAGCTCACATTTTTTTTTTTTAAGTATTCAATACATACAAAGAGACTACAACCAATTAAATGGCCATGGTTTAACAGTTAAGATTTGCTGTCCTACTAAAGGTGCTGTTCACGCTCTGTCTGTAGGATCAGAGTTCAAATAGCAGTGCATTCAATCTGGAAAAAAGTGGTGGTTACAATAGCCTAGTAATAACAGTTGCAGATAATAATCTGAAAAGCTGAAACCACTGAAACATGATGGTTTGCAGTTAGGAAATATTTGTGTGTTTTACCAGAAAGTAACCCATTACCCTGCCAACAGGGAAAAATAAAAATCCAGTGGGAAGACACAAAATTAGATCAGAGCTCCCTTAAATAGGAGGAAATCCAGTCTCGCTGAACAGAGATGTGATCATTCAGATGGCATTTCTATCAGTTCATTTATTTAAAACTCAATTTAATGCTACGTTAGAATTTTCCCTTATCAAACACCAATGTGTATGTGCAAACTGGCTTGGAGGAGCAGGCCCTTTATAGGGAACCCACAATCACGTGCTGCAAGCAGAAGCACAGATTCACCCCCTTAACTTTAGGCAGATAGCTGCAGTTATGAAGGCTGTGAAAGAGTCTTACCAGCTCATCGAAGATGTCCAGTTTGCCACTTACAGTGCCCAATAGTGGATGCCTGCGTTAGTGCAGGAAAGAAACAAACATTTGGTGATTTTTCCCCGGGAAACTCTTCCATCCTCCAAAGATCTGCATTGTAGAGAGTTCCAATTGGCAGTTTTTGGAAGATTTGTCTTCCGTGAACTTCTCCCATTAATGGTAAGTACCTCACAGCACATGAGGACATCACAGAGTAACAACCTATCAGTGGGAAATTATTAACTCTCTTAACAGCAAAAGCATGGTGTGGAGTTTGTGGCACACTGTGGTCTACTCTTGAGTCTGCAAATGCTGCCCTCGTTAAACATATGCCTTTGGTACCAGAAGAAAACAGTAGGCACTTCTCCCTCTCCACTGCAGTCATGGTGCTTGAAATGTTTCTTATGCAGCAAGGATACATCTTCCAATCCCAATTTCCCAGGCTGAAGAATTTGCCTTTTGGCCTATCCAGCCATTCCTTATGTAAAGGATGCGAAATCAGAACTCCATGCATCCAGGTTTGCTCTTCTGCTGATCTTCCAAGGAAGAGATGGGAGAAGGTTCAGATATCTTCACCTCATATTTTAAGATTCACCTGCTACAGGCTGAATTATTCTCTGAACATTTCTGGTGGCTTTCTTTCTTTTTTTTTCTTCTAGAGAAGAGTGAGCCTTTGTGGCTCTTCTGCTTATTAAGACCTAATTTTTAGATGCCAAGTTGGTGTTTTGAAGATGCCAGAATTATATCAAATTTTACTAAATTTATCAGGTGAAGGTTGGAGTATTTCTGGTTAGCAAGAGAGAAAAAGTTATGCTATTAATGGCTCCAATTTGACAGTAGTTTCTTTTCAGTACATGAAATGAGAAAAATGAGAGCCAGTTCATTACAAAAATAGTGGAAGTTATAATAAGGCCAGTGTAGGTTGAATGTGTATGTGAGGAATGAAATGTATGAAAATGCAACATCAAAGAAAGATGAGCAGGGAATGGAGTGCAGAGAAACATGTAATGAGCCTAGTCAGAGTAACGTCCAAGATAATTGGTTAAGGATTACAGCACTTGGGAACTGGTACCCTACAACAGAAGTAGAAAATAGACTGAAAAGAATGAGACCCTGTCAATCTATAATCACGTTATAAGGACCAGAATCATCTCTCCAGTAGAAGCTGAGGCTCTCACAGATGTAGCATTGAATGTCTCACTTCCAATAGCTCAAGAGATTTTAAATAGACAGACCTGACTCATGCTTTGCCCGCAGGTTCCTTCTAAATATTTTTCATATTAACTCTGGGGCTACAGAGAATCTAATAACCCATCAGCGTGAAGTTATTAACTCTTTTAATGGCAAAGGCATGGCACAGACTTTGTGGCCCAGTAAAAATTCGTGCTGTTTGTGCAGTGTTAAATAAGTCAGTTGATCAATGGTGCTCTGATGATTTATTAACATTGTGCTGCCAATGAGAACTCATGCTGCAACTTAAGATGGATCAAATTTTACTTTAAAATATTAAGGTGCCATACCTATAAAGGACTTGTAGAAACAACTGTGTATTTATCATATATTAACATAGCAAAATACAACTGAATAACAAGGAAAGCATCCCTTTCATCTGTTTAAAGCAATGCCAACAACATTAATAGCAAGTGTTTGTGTTTTATAATGTTGTCATGCAATTCCATAAAAATGGCTTGATATTCCAGTGTCAGAATTGATACTTATGTTATGTATTAACTATATTTATCTCGCAAAAAGAGGGGGGAAAAAAGCTCTAAATTTAATTTTACTTGGATGTGAGTACACTGCTTTCATATTTCAATGAAAAAAATCCACATGGCATGAATTTCTCACTGAAAAAATTTGAGTATTATTAAAACTGATGAAACAAAACTCAGCAAAAAGAATTTTTCTTCTCTCACAAAAGATTCACAATGCCACATTGCTCTGGTTGGTATCATTTCTAAAATTTGATTTATGATTTCTGCCTCATTGAGGGTGACACTGCTTGGTACAGATTTATTTAGCAGCTGTCTGCTAAGCACAATACTGTGGTTCTCCTTTCTTTTTATATATACATATATAGGCAGCACTGCAGGGGAAGCTGGTGCATAAACAATTGCCAGGCACCAAAAGTCATATGGCATGCAAAGCAGAGCGTATATTGTGAGGATTTAAGTATTTGCACTGCCATTAACTGTTATTTATTTTACAGTTCAGACCCTTTAAAAATCTGCATGTGGTAGAGAAAATTCTATGAGGATTTCAGTGCCATATTAAGAGTTATAATATTTATTACTACACTTTGGATTTACCAGACTTTCATCTGAGATGTGTACTGTTTAATAAAGATGGTTAAGTACTATCTCCCCTATTTCACTGATTAAGGATCTGAACCACAGACTGAACACCTTCTGACACGACCAGAAGAAAGATCTAATTGGCAAATAGTGCAGACCAGCAGAAGTAATTCTACAAAGCAGTACAATTGACACTGACGGTTAGAAACCTACATTCTGAGCATTGGAATGTATATACACACACACACACACACACACACACACACACACACACACAGGTTGCTCTGAAAGTACGGCCTCCTATTTATTTCCATGAAAACGACAATAGCTACAAAGAGAACAGCAACATCATTTGATGAGTAAATTCTCAGATACAAAACACTATTTATCAGCACAGTCATCACCATTAACTGTGCATTTTTGCCAGCACCTAACAAGAACCTGAATGTGCACTCATAACAAATACATACTACTGGAGGTGACTCACTATCACCACTGCTGAAAGGCACCACCCACCACCTCACTGTGCTTACACCACTGTTTGGTTTCCATAAACATTCAGCAAATATTGATGAATGTCAGCCATTTTCTTCCACATGGAGGAACTCAAGGACACATCTTTGCTCCGTATGCACTTCCATGTCTGAGACTACTCTGCTGCTGGCTGTCACACGGCAGCAACATGTACCTGGACATTGGTGGGAAGGTTCAGCCTCTACTGCCATACCACCAATATCCACTTCTGATGTTGTGGGCCAACCAAAAAATAAAAATAGGAGGCATTGTTTACAGTGTTTTGACTTGAGGGATTGTCAACAAACCATGTGAACAAAGCACACCTGAAACATTCCCCTGCTGAGGGCTCTGGCCCAGTCAATGCCTAAGTCTAATACAGACCATGAGATGTCTGGCCCTAGGCACTGTCACAATGGCCCAGAATTTCGAAGGCCTGCAGAAAAGATAACGAGTGACTTTCACAGGTTTGCATGTGCACATGGGGCTTTTTATACAGAGCTCCTTTCCTGAGTAGGTTAAGGATTCCAATACTATGTAGATGTAGCTGTTGAGGCGTTTTAAAAATCAAAGAATACACAAGTATCACTTAAAAATTGAAGAGGATTTAGGACCAATTTTTAGTCCCTTATGCAGCCAATTGCTACCTTGTACCTAATAAAATATAGTAGAGAATTCAAGTTGATCTGCAGGCATTATAACTCGTCCTTCAAATCTAACTAAATACAAAAAGTGATAAATTATAGCAAGTGATCCTTGCTTTTTAACTGGCATTCCAAGTCCATTTGCCTTTCTAATGCATTTTGAAAAAGATAAATGCTCAACACTTAAGCTGCACATAAGCTTCTTGCTCCTTTATATTATTTCCTATAAATATAAATGCTTTTGGTCATGCGATTTGATCTTTGAGTACATGGTACAATAAATCTAGCCACAATTCATTTCCCTTAAAAACAAACACGACCTTTTTAAAAAAAAATCCAGGGCAAAAGGGTTCTTTCTTAACACATAAATACCTAATAATCTGAACAGACCACTCAGCCCCAAAGTAAAAGTCACGTACTAAGTAGATACGTGCTTTCCACACCAGACAGCAAAAAAGTTTTTATGCAGGAAAGTCTGTGAAGATTGAGCCAATCTCTTGTCAGCTCACATGTCATGCCAGCTTTACCTGTTACTTCGTATTGATTGCAGGCAAATTTGATTGTAATTTTCTGTCGAAAACCCCAAGGTAAACCATCCTTGCCTTACATATACCACAGGAAAAGTCTCCGGTCCACTGGCTTTCTTTTTTTTTTGTATATGCACAGGGATGCTACAGTACTAGCATATATACTATGGAGCCACCTCATCACGGGAAATTCCTTAAATTGTAACCAGCACCTACCTATTTTATCCTCCAGCTGACACAAGCACTTTGAGTTTAGCCACTGTCACCTGTCTACTGCTGTTTTGACTGTTAAATATATTGAACGTATTAACACCAGCTGCAGTCTAAGCACTAAAAGCATGTAGAGAGATGTTTACTTTCCATACATAGTAGTGTTTAGGATAAAAATAAGTCAAAGAAAAATTCAGAATGAAAAAGAGAAGAAAGGATTTTCACGAACAGGATCAAGTAAGTAATGTATAAAGGAATGTCTGTATTCTGTCATGATTACTTACTCTATTTTGATCTCACATCTTCTGCTTCACCCTGGAAACATTCTTTGGCTCTAATTGAAGTTTCCAAAATATAGTCTTCATCAACATCAATTCAACACATCATCATCTAAAACAAGGTGATAAAGTTGGTATTTATATCTATCAGGGGACTGACTACAGATGATGACAACAACCATCTCAAAAGGTATAATTCTCTGCCACAGTATGTATCAGTATTTTTCTTAATTATTTCTGACGTTTTATCTATTACTCCAAGGACTTTTTCAGAGGGTGGAAATAAAAGGGAAAAATGGTTTTTGTGCCACAGATGAAGAAATACATCTTCTGTAAGTAATTCCCAGAAGAAATCTTGGAAATGTTATGGGGTCAGGAAATAGGTAAGAAAATAACATTTGTCACCCTTGCTGAATTGGGCATCTAAACTTAGAGTAGCACCAGTGACTTATCTGCCACTCCTTAGGCAAGAAGAAAAGTGAGAATACAGAAGTGTATGGGGGAAAAAGAGCCCCATGAATATTTCCCAGTCAACTGGAAACCTATCTAAAGATTTTGTTCTTCCAGCTGCTTATATCCTGTTTTCCCACAGCTGATGTCCTTTCACTTCTGTTATTATAAATTACAGCAAAAGTAAAGAACCATACAGTTTAAGTTATAGCAACTACATGAGTGCATCAAGTTTAGGACCAGCAAATAATGACTGAGAGTGGCCAGGAGAAAAACTTTCAAGTTAATGTGCTGCATAGATGCGATAAGAGTGGCCAATTATCAACATCTACAGAGAATACTAAGATAATTCACTGGTAGGCAGCCCACAAAACCAAAAAGGTACCCTCAAAAAAGGACTTGAAAAAGCTTGTTACAAGTCACTTCTTCTGACATGAATCTGATGCAGAATGGACAACTGAGTTGTGAAGAACAACTTGTCACAGATCCCTAGAGAAATTTCAAGCACAGTTGGCTGCCCAGCTTAATGACATTGTTATTAAACTCAATATAAATAAAACAGGCCATAGCAGACTCGATCTCAATGTTCTTATCTTAAAAACTTGAAAACACTGCAGCTGTCCCAGAGCACTATACAAAAAACTCACCTGGTTTTTCCAGCCTTGGAACTAGTTTCTGTACGAACAGTCTTCTCTCACCCTCTGAATCTTCCAGTATCCTGTGTTGATGACCTACCAGAATGAATATAATGATCAAAACATGAGTTTCATGGAGTTATTCACAGAGAGCCTATTTTATCTTGTATCACACGGACACAAATTAAGCTAACGGCACTACATGGAAGCTTCTAAGTTCAGAAATAGGTATAACAGCATTCTAACAAGAGTTACTCAGGACATACTAGAAGCATGTCAATTATTCAGTAATTAGCAGAATGAAACATTAACTTTCAGATATGTGTTAGTCAGGTGGTTTGTCCTTATTGTACGCTCAATGAGAAATGAAAAATGCCTTTTTTCCCCCTTCTTCTAGCGTTGGCTACATGGTGGCCTGCCTTTAAGAAGGCATTTACTGCCTAACTCTGAGAGATAGAAGAGGAAGGGTGAATGATTTTCATGCTCTGGCACTCATTGTAGACTGTTTAATTTGTCAGGACTACTAGGCCATGGTTTTGTGCTTTGACAGGTTTTTGTTATTCCTGCTAATCCCATTTCTGTTGTGTAATGTGCGTGGCAGCATCTGGTGACAACAGAATAGAACACCTAATTGTGAATGAATACAGAGCACCCTGTTCTGCCACATTGCCTGTTGCACTATTTTTGCATTTTTATGGCTGAGGGTGGGCTTCCAGGAGCTGCAAAGCAGACAGCCCATCGTTGTAATCAAATTTGCCATTTGCATGTGTGTGTTCTCAGCAGCCTTCTTATTTCTATAGCCCCCAGGATTCCGTGAGTTTGGCTTTCTGGCTCCCTCTTCTGAGTGGAAAGGATGATCGTACATATCTAGTAAACAATTGCTCTTTACCGTTAAGTCACAAAGTGAAACTGATGGCTTTAATTGCATTTGAGTGTCATTAGAGCGAGCAGAAGTGAGGTGGGTCAATGCACTACCTGAATGATGTCTGCTGCTCCCACCCGTAGTATAGCTTCATTCACTTGATAGACGTGAGCACTCCTCACTACCTGAGCATCTATTTTTCCAGTCCACCTTGTTCAGATCTTCCAGATCCTATTCCTCTTCACCACTCAATGTGTACAGGGTGTAGAGAGCAAGTAAAGGAGCTATGGGCTCTGCTCAGTGTTGCTCATGTAGACACACTTAGCAATAGGTAGAGTAATAGTATAATGACTATAAATGCTCCCAAAACGTTAAGACTAGGATATCTGTTTTTAAACAGTGGTCTGGCAAATTTCAGAGGGAAGGATTCAGTTCAATATCTTTAAATCTTCCTGACAGCAGATTACTGAAATAATCAAATTCTTTGACAAATCCTTTCCTGGTAGGATACTGATGAGATGGTTCCATTTCTCTATGACCAAAACTGGCTCCAGCTAATGTTGTTATTACAGCATGATGCACTCAGAATGAAAAGTGTTGAAAAACATTCTTTTGGAAGAAGATTGGATGATGGTTGACAAGTGCTGCGATACAGCTACCCAAAATACCCATAGATCAGAGCAGTATTGAATTTGACAAAATGGACCAAGGCTATTATTTTGTAGAACACAAATATTTTTAATAGAACTATTAGCCTTCCAGTCTAGAGGTTTTCATATATTTTCAGCTTAGATTATTGTCAGTTACAAGCATAAGTATTTCATAATAACACCAATAAAATTCACTGCCAATATCAATCTTCCAGAAACTGTCAAAAGATTAATTAAGACAAAGCTATAAAGACTCAGAGATGCAAAGTATAGAAATGGCAACTTCAAAGACAAAAACTTTAAGAAGCCTGCCCAGAATTACCAATTAAAATGCAGGACTGAATTTTCTTCTGTAACACTTAGCACAATTTTTCTCCCAGTAAACTACACAGCTCTTCTGTGTTTACCACAATAACACAGAATCAAAACATGAAGCCTGTTAGATGTGGAAACCAAAAAAGATCTGAAGCTGGTAGAAAATTTAACACATCACTCAGATATTTCTCTAACTCCTCTGTATTATAAGATGCCGAATTTACTAAGTTTAAAAGAGGTGGTCAAACAGTAACAGTGAATATGAAAGCTTCAGTTTCAGGACTGAAGCATGAAGCAGCATACAGTCCACAAATGAAACTAAGATCTCGTCTTATGCTTTCTCATATCTGCTTCAGTTCAATTCTGAAATGAGTTCTAAGAAAAAATAAGATACTGTGAAAGCAAAAATATTTATGTACACTATGCATACAAAATAGACAACCAAGGGAGAAATGTTCCTCCTTATCAAAGACTTGTATTAGATGTATCCTTCTGCTAAGCATCTATGGACAAGTCCCCCAGAAAAAATGCCTTTAATCAACTATGGAAGCTGTTACTCGTTATCATCATCTGTTTATAATCAATGAGAACAGTTGGGTGCTCAGCACTCTTGAAAACTGAACCAATTATTTAGGTCACTAGTTTTTAACCTTTTTTCTATCTGTGGGCTCTTACGCATTTTCCAGTGGACACAAGGTGCTGTTAGAAATGGTGCTTGCATAGATAGATGTCACTTTATTTGGCACTTACAACAAACTGTCTAGTATTTATCTCTTCCCCTTTCATGCTCTTATGAAAATACTCTGAGTCTCCAAGTTGGAGAAAAATGCCACATTAATCAAATAAAGACATTTTCAGCTGAATTAAAAAAAAAGAATACCTGAATCCAACTATTTTTAAGAACCTTGTTATGATATGCAAATAATATCTCTTCAGTTTGTGTCTAAAGTCTATGCTATAGTGATTACAACACAGGAAGAATGCAGTTCTGCAGACACTGTCCTTGCTGGCACAAGCAGCTGCTGCTGTGTCCTCCTGATCATTCTCATTACAATCAATGAACTGTTCTGTGGGATCATTCCTATAAAAACTACTTTTCTGACTCAAATAGCATTACTCATGCTATAACACTCCTGATAATTTTGAATATGGTTTCAAACAGAGAAAGAAAGGGAAGAGTGCAGGAAAGCAAGGGACTGCACAGATACCCTATGTTGGTCCTAAGAGTACAAAATAAAAGGTGCCAACTACAACTAATGTGTGACTTCACATTTCTATTTGTTGGTTAGAACAAATGAGAGACAGATTGGGTCTGCCACAGGAAGAAGCACTGGCTGAGACCTGGCCAATTTCTGGTGTCCCACCTAAAGGAGCCTTCCACCATCACTAGTGACCAGTAGCTGTAGAAACTGCTCCTGTCACACATCACAGGCAAGGATCATTGTGCTCACAAACAGCCCTGTGTCAAATGAGAATTGCTACAGTGATCACTAACAATCACAGACTGAACAGAAAGCTGTTTGCAAGACTTCAGAATATTTCTAACGACATTTTACTGCTTGTTATAATAATTATTATTACTGGAATATATTTTACTGTCTCTCCACTAAACTACTGCATTGCCGCCACTGTTCCTAACACAGACCAAATTACATTTAACAGAGCAGACTCTTAATTTTCCAAGTCTGTTCACCTTTGGCCTCAGCTCCAGCAACCAAGAAGTGTATCTGCATCAGCTCTGTGGAGGCTCTGGTAATCCCTGGCACAAACCCCCTGGGAAATGCTTTGCACCAACAAACTCATCTCACATGTTGGAAGCTGCCAAACTACAGATGGAATACTTCAGCAAAGTAGTGGCTGAAAAGTTCCTAAAATAAAAGCAGCAGGGGAAGAGGGGAAGACCTCTCCTGGTTTTGATGAAAAAAAATCTTTAGTCCTGACTACTGTATTTAAATTAAATCTATTTGCTTTTCACACAGTTCGAATGGATGCTTTTTAATTATTGCTAATTGTTTAAGATATTGTTGTATGCCCCCGATGATTTAAACAGAATAAATTTCATTCCTTTAAAATCTCTTTCAGCTACAGGCAATATAGTAAGAAGCCCCATAGGTATGGCAGTAAAAATAACCATAAAGACATAAGCATTTAAATGAGGAAAGCATAGAATACTTCCCACTAGACCAAAAAAAAAAAAAAAAAAAAAGGAAAGAAAAGAAAGAAAGAAAGAAAAGAAAGAAAGAAAAAAGCTATGTGTTTTGGAGACACAAGAACCAAACCATGAAACACACAGTTGAAACATTTAGGATGACTATGAAAAAGGTCTATGTTCACTTGTTAAGGAATGCGCTAAGGCAGACTAAAGCATGTGAATGGCCCTTTCACAGGTCACAGATTCTATTCAGTTCTTGGACATTGTTATTATCCTACAGAAATAGATGGGCCTCATTAATATTCTGAACATACCTGAGAGAACATTCTTAAGGAAATCATCCTCTGGTGGTTTTGGGTTTGTTGTGTTTTGGGCTTTTGTTTTTTGTTGGGGTTTCTTGGGTGTTACGTGCTTTTTGCTTTTGCTTTTAACCAGCAGTAGGTGTTACAAATAGTGTCTGGTTAATAAAGTATAAGCATAATTTTGGTGTTAAAAGTTTAATAAAGAGTCTGCTTCTGGATATATTTGTTTATGCAAAAATTCAGATTATTATTTTTAATTTTTTATTTCAGTAAACAATTTTGCCATGTAGATTAAAGCTGAACTGCAGTCATGTTGCAAGCAATTATATTCTTGGCACTTTTCTGAACATAATATAACAATTACCACAGCAACTGAATTTTTATCATAGCACTCCAAGCATGCAGCAGGTTAATACCAGTGTTCAGCGACTTCAGATAGTATTTCTAAGATGTTAATGTTTAGCCAATTTCAAATGTAGCAAACAGCTTCTGATACGAACTGGGTTGTGTGCTTTTAAGATAATGTGGTTACACAGGCCCTGATCTTATATAGAGTTGGACTGATGTCCCCCTTACAAAATGCGGGTAACGCTTGACGGGAGCCGAGCAAATCAGTATGCAGCACCAGCGCCATGGCAAGATGAGCTGTGATGGCAAAGTTACATTTTTAAGGAACATGACTCACTACAGAATGGGGTTGGGATCCCATCTCTGCTATGGCATCTCATACAGCTTGTCTGTTAACATCATCAGTTTTGGAATGCATGAACTATCACGGAGTGTTTGCTTGGAACCCACCGCTGTCCTGAAATGATGTTGTTACTAACCTGATCTACACTGGACTTTAAAGATATGCAGTTTGGTTTCAATTGTGTGACTCCTGCTGAGCGAACTCAAAAAGAAATAACCTCATTTTTTGAAGCTTGGTTCTTCTCCCTGCTGGCCCTCATGGGAGTGTTGCTGTTGCCTTCACAGAGAGTAGAAGCAGGCCCAGAAAATGGGTAATCGACCTCAGTCATCTAAGCTGTGCCACCATGCTTTGGATGCAGGACACTGATTTGATACAGCTACTTGATGTTCTTATCTTAAGACAAGATGTCTGGATGGCATACAAATATAGATAAAAGTAGATGACTAATTATCACACCTATTCTTAAGGCATGCATGAGGGAGGCAGTAAAGAGAAGGGGAAGTTTGTGGCTTACTCCCACACATAATCCTCTGTGTGTCAGTGGGTGAATAGACACTACTTAAATCTATTGTGCAAAACTGATGTAGAACAACAATTAGCTGAAGCAGAGAAGAAACTACACTAGAAAGGCAAATATAAAAATATCTCTCTACTAAAATATTTGCAGGTAGTCATGTAATTCAGACACATAGCACGCCCAGAAACAGTGTCAAGTGTTTTGTACTCAAACCTTAATATGGCATGTGGAAAAAAAATCCCATTGAAATAAATAGACCTATTCATTTCAGAGACAGCGAAAAAGAGACGAACTTTCTTTGTCTTGCCACTTTAAAGTCCCTTGATAGCATTTTCCTTTTTTATTGTCTTTTAGATATAGATGCCCCTCTGCTTAAGTATCACCAAAGCTACTAGTAACAAATACCTAAATATATAACAGATGCATAAGTGCATCTTGGGATAAATACATTATGGACAATTAACTGTCATCATACCCCTCAATTACATTTTCACCCGCTCCTGTAGTGTACACCTGTGGCTTGTTAGTAATGCAATAAGTGTTGTAAAGCAACTCTAAGGTTCAAAGGTAGCTCTGCAAAAATCTGTTTTCCTCTTTTCTTAAATGTGCACTACATAAATGCAGAAACAGAGAAACAAACACAAGAGAAAAAGAATACCATCTCTTCTTTTACCAGCTGACACTGCTGATCAAGTGGAAATTTAGAATTTTCCTGCTATGTCACATAGGAAAGAAGCTTTGTGTGAAGTCTTGAGCCTGATTCTAATTTCACTAGGGTAGAAATTAACCCAGAGAAGCAGCAAGTGAAAATCACTCCTAACATTATTTCCTTTCTCAGTTGTGCAGGGTAATGTAATAATCATAACAGCATTTGAGAAAATTTTGTAATGCGCATCATTTCTGGTCAAAAGTAAAAGAAGTTGCTGGAAGCACAACTAAAACTGATATCTATCTAGGCTACAGTATAATTAAGTCTACAGCTCTGCAAAATTGGTATTCGTATAAGTTAAAGTAGCTATTGGATATTCTTACTATAATCACACTTAAATCCATAATAGTTTCTAGAAGGATTATTTGTTATTAAATATGTGAGTGGTGTAATTCAGTAAGCTCTGTATATGACACTGATGGAGTGCCTGTAAAGAAAAATTTTAAACAAAAATATACTATACAGTTGGTCTTATAATTGTAGCTAGAGGCAAATCCAGAACAGAAATACCCCTCTCAGGTGATATCCCAGTGGCATTAACACATTTATGTTCCTGATATACTTCTTTATGTTTTATATAACTTTTTTTTTTTTTTTTTTTTTAGTTCTATACACCCTGACTGACTTACTACCTCCTTTAGCACCTCTGGATTTCTGCATTACTTATTTGGGAAAGAAAACAAAGTAAGTGAGAGGCTTTTCTGAGCTTCAGCATGAGAGATGGAGTGATCTTTGTAAAAATCCACTGATTCTGGCATTCCCATCACTTTCCCAATATACAAGGAATCCCATCATCCAGAGCCTCACATGCTGGAGTCCAGATGACCCACTCCACTAGGAGTCTGGCTGAAGCATGCAAGGCTGCATCAAGCTGGGAGGCTTGGATATTCATCCCATCCGCTCTCCTCTCTGTAGACATCTCCCCCCCTGCTTCCAGCCACAGGGCAGTGAGGGCACAGCCATACCTGTGTTCCACCAAGCAAAGCTGTTTTCACAGAGTTACCTCATCAGAAGAAGGAAACATTATAAGTCCCTCTCATTTGACTTTCTCCAAAAAACAGGACATAACTCCTCACATCCCTGGTACTGATCCAGAACAAACCAGGCTGTTGGGAATTGCCAGCTACATTATAATGCTTTCCATCTGACCTCAGTGCTTTTGGGTTGAATCTTCTGAATAAAACAAATCTCACTCCTAGAGTGGGATTTCCTGTTGGGACAATGACAGTGAGATATTTACCTACTTACCAGTGCATTTCAGCAGAGGTTCTTAATAACAGTTCTTTTTTTCCTTTTAGCAAAAGAAAGCCTTCTTTTCAAGTCTTCATGTACCCCTTCTCAAATTGTCTATAAATTAAAAGTTGACAGCTTCATCTGTGTAATGAGCAGCTTTCGGCAGCACCCTTTAATCACGTTGTTTGTTCTTGCTCATCTTTTAAATGGCCTGCAAAGCAATGGTGAAGGGCAGGACAGTGAAACACTCACAGATAACATTCAAGAGCGTAACTTCATTCTATCATTAGTGACATACTTGAGAGACACTATATTTATTTATAGGCAAGAATCAAGTATGCACATTTTGACCAAGAATGATTCATGGGCTGTCAAATGCCAATATGCTTAAACAGGCCTGAAAAGAACTGGGTTGGCTGACTGCACGCTATCAGCCACTGGTCAGTCAGCATAAGCTGAAGTGAAGAGCTGTATCACCTTACTTTACTAAATCCATGGCCTCCACAGTGTTTAATTGTGGTTTTGAATGGCTCAAAACCAAATACAGTCTGATCTGTTTTGCTGAGCAATGACTGTCAGCTAACTTACCCTTTTGCAACCATGTACAAACAAAATCTCTAAATGAGTATGAGAAAGAGCAAAAGAAAAGATAAATGCAAATATTTTAAAAGTGTTAGCATTAATCATATGGGGACAATATTTAGCAGAGATGGAAAGTACGGTTAAATTGAGAAAAAACATCTGATACGTGCTGTATGCAAATTCTTTGATGTCTGGACACCTCATTGCTTGGAACGGCTTAAAAGATCTGAAAGAACAGACTGAAGACCAAAAAACATGTCACAAGTTAAAGTTCTGTATGATCCAAAAACTGTACTGGATGATTTAATAAGAAAGTGTAATTTCTAGTAATTTTTTTTCTTGGAAATGATTCATTGCTTTTGGTAAAAAGCTGGCTCCATACAGAGAATTACCTGTCCTGCCTCAGATACTTTTTTCCATATGATTAGAAAATGTATCCAAAAAATCTTAAAAAAAAATATCCTCCCCTTCAGATGCTGAACACCAGTATACGAATTGCAATACTTGGGGATTGTAACTTCTGCAGTAATGACAGGAAATACCCTAGCACCTATTGTCTAAGCACTTCTATTGACTAGTCAGGGCAAAATTAGAATCAGGAGCTTTTACATTGCTCTATAATTGGCCTGAGTAAAATCTAATAACAAATTCACAGTGTAGTCGGAACTCATCTGTTGTTTGCACTTCCTACTTCACAGATGAGACAGTCTCAAAAGACAGAGTAGGCTGAAGACTGGTTGGACAACTCTATAAGTGAAGTCTCAAGACTCTTGTCATTCTAGCTGTCTAAATTACTTAAACAGGACTCAGAGGGATTTAAAGGGGAGAAACGACATGACAAACAATTATATTCTAACACACTATTTATAACAATGCCCTTTCAGATTATTGTTCCACTCAGACTGACACATTACTGTAATCCCAGGGATGAATCAAGGGACTTAGAGTTAGATCATGCACAGCTTGTAGGCATAAAAAAATACGAATAAAGAACTGACATTCAGGAAATATAGAGCGACTCAAGGATAAATTCTGCTGGGATGAGCTTAATTTATCAATGTCAATAACAACGGTGAACACATCGCAAGAATACATGCATATTAATTGAAAATAACTCAGATTAAATCACTGCAGTTTGACATTTTGAGATAGGCACTTTATCTTTTCAAGAAAGAGAGCACTATAAAATCTTTAATCTGAAAACACATCTTAATTGCATGTTATCACCTCCTAATTGCTTCTATATTATATTAAACATTTTGCTAATTACTAGCCTGATCATGGTGTAAATAGCTTGAGGCTAGAGCTCATAACCAGCTGAAGACAACTGGGCACAATGAGGGCCACAAAGAAGTTTATCACTTCGGTGTATTATCACGGACTTCCATCATTATCAGTGTCTATCACTCTTTATCTCTGCTTCCCTTGTGAGATAAAGAAGAGAGGCAATAATGTAGATCAGAGGTTGAGCTGCATTTGAGTTAATCCATCTATTTCTAGCTCTAGATTTCTAATATTCCCTGGAGACAGAAGTTGTCTGCCTACTGCTGTCACTAATCTACTGCTTGAACACTGAGGCCAGAATGCTATTTGCTGTACCACAACACTGGGTAATGGAGATGCTCCTGGACAGCTGGAGGTGCACACTGCATCTGAAACCAAAGGACATGGATGAAATGTGTTGCTGTGAGCAATCTACCTGTTTAGTTTCAGAGCCTGAGTAATACACAGATGATGCATAAGGAGCATCTGAGGCAGCAGTTTGAGAATTCATCAGGAATGACAATTATTTATGCTTAGGCAATAAAAATGCTCATACAGAACTGCCAGGTGACCTAACAGTGCAGGCAGCCATTTGGGCAGCAACTAATAATTTGACCATAGTAATAATTTAGATAATTACTGTTACCTGAAATGAGCAGACCCAAAGATCATTTTTAGGGTTTGTTTGTTTTTTTTTTTCCTTTGAAAGGAAAACAATTTTATCCAACATCATATTCAGGAATGAAGTAACTCTGTGGGTTACAAACTGCATGGTAAAATAGAGCCTTACAAAATATGATTTGCATTTGCCAAAGAGAAAAAAAACAAAAAACAACAACATTAAGAGGAAATCATTTGGCCAGCACATAAGTAAAATAGCTTTTCTTCCTTTAGCAGAACATAAGTTTAGTGAATGCAAAGAGGAGGTGGCAATACGTGGCCCATGAATTCTGCTCTATTTAAAATTGGGCTTTCACCACAGCTAGTTTGTCAGGGCTGTAAGATGCCAGGGGCCCAAATTTGTCTCTGCTAATAACAGCTTACTTTTTTATCCTTTGCACTGTAGCAGCAGCAAGGGATCCATGCCTGAAAAATAACTCACAACTTCTTTCACTGAGCAGAAAGTTTACAAGCCAGGCAGAAAGAAAACAGACTGCAAATGAGGGAATATGAAAGACAGATGAGTTTAGGCCTGAGTTACCAGATGCCAAAACAAAGAGTTCTCAGCTCTAAACTGTTTTTCTCACTCAAGACCACACCTTATGGAATGGCATGCAGTTAACTGGTCAGAAAGTAATGCACAAATCTGAAGAATCCTTCCCACCTTCTCTCCACAAGGCTTACTACTCAGCCCTCAGAGTGGGGGCACAGATCCCACCGCAGCCCTCCCACGATCCTCTCACACCTCCCAAACTCTACTCTGGGTCTTTTGTTCCACAACATGCTTCTCCATGGGCTACACTGCTCTCTCGCTATCTAGATTACTGAGATATGAACCCGTGCTCTATCAGAGCAGTCATAAAATAAGTTAGACAAGTATAGTTAATACATTATAAGTGAGTGCTAACCCTGGTCCTGCATGCTGCCCATCGATGCCCATCTCCCCTGAGGCTGCTGTGGCACTGTGCTGTGACATCGTGCTGTCCCGTCTGTACGGTGCTCCCTCCAGTGACACAAGCTGCAGTGACACTGACAGGAATTGGGGGCTGTGAAAGACTGTGTGTCAAAGCTTCACAAACTGGGCTTCCTGTCAACATTTCTTGGCTGCGAGCACACAGTGGAATGAAATACAGCACAGCTAACCTGAAGGAAGCAATGATGCACAGCTGTTTTATTGCCTGGTACAGGTAAGACATTTTTAGGGAATATTTTCTGCCTTTTAATGAGCCCACAACAGAAGGCTCTGAATTTATCTCGGCTGCCAGAATCCTCTCACTCTTTCAGGTTCTTATTATCTTTCTCTGTTTCTTTCTCTCTTTGTTTCTAGTTTGTGCCTGCTTAGAGTACCTTAAGCTCCTTTCTTCAGCTCCTAAGCAGTCCTTACAGGTGTCTGTGCTCTCCCCAAGAATTCCCTAATTTGCCTTCTTTACTTTCACTTAAGGTTATGAGAAGCCTGCACTGTATTCTTGCCTGTCTTTGTATCCAAAGCAAGGAGAGGAAGACACTTCCTGGCGGAAGAAATGCTCTGCCCTGGGAGGTTGCCCCTGTCCTTACAAGCCATTTTAAGAACACCTTATATTGAAACACAGAGTGTACACTGCTTAAAGTCTGTACCACACAACACTGAACTTTCCCAAGGGCTCATTTCTGTGGTTGAATTTCATACCCATGCTACACGTGAATTTTATGATATTTGCTTGTTTGCATTTTCTCCACTGTCTTCACATATTTTATCTCCACAGCTACTAATTCTTGATATAAATGATGATAAGCAGTAAAGTATGGTCCATTAACTTGATTTTTAAAAGTATCTAAAATTTACGCAGTGATTTAAATAATAATATAAATTATATTAAGTATGTGCAGCAGCAGAGGGTACGGCCTCCTAAACAGAATGAATTTCTCCTTGGAGAGCACTGATTAGTTCATTTTTCCTAATGAATCTTTTGTTATAGTCAGAAGTTCCTTTTTTCCCCCTCACTGTCTCACTTATGAAGCATGCATATGTATATATGTATGTTCCATTTATATATTTGATAGCTAGATTAAGTGATATCCTACTTCACCTCCAGAAAGGGCACAGCACTTCTTAAGGAGGAAGCTGCATTTCTTAGGTCAGAGAAACTGAGGCCAAGTCATCCCATCCACAGATTCTCCACCTGCTCAATCTTTGGGTCAACTATCTCCAAACATGTAATCCATTGCTAAAATACTGCCTAGAGAAAAGTGGATGGACAGTGCTGCTTCTCTCAGTGAAATTTATTGTTGAAGCCAATTGGAAGGCATGTCCATTCAGACACTCCATCAAAAAGAAGCAGCAGATGGCTTTGTACTGCTTTCTTGAGCATCTAAGAATGCACCTCTGCTTCTGTTCTCCCCTCATTCTGCATATTCATACCATTCTTCCCTAGGGCAGGGAGGAGAGAGAAGTTCCCTCATTCACTCACATGTGCTTTACCTCTCATAGAAGCCAGGCTGCCATCTGATCTAATGAACTTTGAAACAAACTCCCTTTAAGATAACTTTCTTTTACCTGCAGTGATGTTCCTTTGGTGGTTGTTTACCATCACCCAGGTCATTTAGGCTACAGTTTAAAATGCATCGTGACTGTTGTTTTTTTCCTCTAGAAATATCAATGTATGTGGTACTTTTCAATAAGTGGACATTAATTCACACTAAATTACAGTGGGATTCCCATGAAATTAC